TGACATCCTCGGCATCGTGTGAAACCTTCTTTACCTCATCAAGCCAGGCATCAAAAGCTAAGTTACGCGATGAACGCATTGGCACTTGCATTAGAAAAGCTCTCATTACTCTAAATTCGATCTCAATCTGCCTCATGTTGTTGTCAGCTTCAAGCAAATCTGATGCTTCTTTTCCTAACCGTGAGCCTATTGCCTTTAGAGCCTCTCGCCCCAAATTAGCAGCAATTTTCTGAAGTACGACATAAACCACAACCTCTGCCATCTTTGCTTTATAGATTGTGGAATACTACTTGGGTAAGCCTCCAAGTTAAATACTGTGATCTTATATGTCACTATGAAACCCTGTGTTGCTGAAAAAAAAAACATTGGATAAATAAATGTAGTACGATTAATGTAAGGTCAGAACATAAATATCTGTATAGCATACTGCATACAGAATTAGCATGTGAGATTGTCAGGTTTGCATTCAGTTTGTACTTGTCAGATTCAGATACACTGAACACAAACGTTCTAGTTTTAGATGGTCAAATAGTACAACCAAGTACAAGCAAGGCTGTCGTCCGACCTGTATGGTGATTAGAGAATCAAAGTGAAAAAATCTTGGGGGTCACTAAAAAAGGCAATAGGGGAACTAGAAAAGCCTTACAGCTCTATTTTGGGAGCTTATTGTTCCTCAGCAATCTGGCATCTTCAGGATATGCAAGTAGACGGAGGCTTAAAGTTAACCTTGCAGACAGATGGCATGTACTCCCTCCATCCCAAGAAGTGCGTAATTCTAGATTTAAACTAAATCATTTTTTAAAAGTTTGACTAAATTTATAGAAAATAGTATCATCATTTATACCAAATATATTATATGACTAATCTAATGATAAGTACTCGGTATCATATCAAATGTTAGTACTTTTTTTATAGGTTTGATCATATTTTAAATTGCTTGACTCCTTGAAAAAAGAACTGTAAATTCTTTTGGGATAGGAGTAATAGATAAATCCTATTCCACTACATATAGCTGAGCTGGCGCAGCAAAACAAGATAGGCATTTAGGCAATATATACACGGTCGAGTTTCAACTTGCTCTTTAGCTTAGATCTGAAGCAAACGAGAGCAAAATATGCCAAGGAAGAGGGAAACTTCTACTGTAGAGCTATCAGATATAAACAACTACATCAAGAGTTCATATATAGGAAACGAACAATCGAGAGTAGAATCTACTGAACCATCAAGAACCGAAGACTGGGAAACAAGTTTCAGAGAAATCACAATTACAGAGATACTGTATGAGAGAAGGGATCGTACATTGCTAGCGAAATGACTGTCTGCCTCTGCCCAAGCTAAGGATCACGTCGTCGCCTCTGATTTCTTTTGGGAACCGCTAGTCGATGATCATTGAACTCAATCTTAGATACAACATCATTGGAGTTCCTGCATTTCCTTCCACCTATCCATTCACCCACTCATTTGTGTGGTCCGCTGGTTCTTCTCGGGGAACCCCGCTCTGACTTGACCAATCAGGTCGTCGGACACCTGATGCAAAATACTACCATGGGCCCGAAATTTTCCTTCATCCGAGTTTACAGCGCGCTTTTCCACGTCCGGCCACCACACACTTCTTTATTTTTTTATTATTACGGAGTACTCCTTCCGTCTTATATCTGTCGTAGTTGACGCGATATTTGATTTATAGAAAATATGTGTAATATTTATATTTCTAAATAAATTTATTAAAAAACTAGATTTAAAGATCTTTACAATAATACTAATTATGTACTATAAATATTAATATTTTTAAATATATATTTAGTCAAAGTTATTTCTTGAAAAACGCAAACGATAGATATTTAGAGACAAAGTAGCAAACCACGAGGATGATGTTCGTTGTAATGGAAAAAAACTAATAATGTTTAGTGTAATAAAAAAATGAAAAAAAACATGTTGTTTTGAGACAACCAAACTCTACTACAGTCTACTCTCTCCATTTTAAATTATAAGATGTTTTAGCTTTTCTAGATACATAGCTTTTACTATGCATTTAGATACTCCATCTGTCCCTAAAAAAAGACAATTCTCGCTTTCAAAAAGTCAACAAACTTTCAACTTTGATCAAATACATTTAACAAAATATTAATATTTATGGTATATAATTAGTATCATTAGATAGATCATTAAATATACTTTCATAATAAACTTATTTGGAGATATAAATGTCGCACGCATAGTATACACTATGTCTAGATATATAGTAAAATAAAAAACCAAAACGTCTTATAATTAGGAACAAAGGGAGTACTTGATCTTAGGAACATGTTTTGAGCCAAAGTTATATAAGCATCAGTTTTATATGGAAGTATCGAAGCAAGCTTGCTTTAAGAAAGGACACAAAAACACATATTAATGTAAGCATGGAGTTCAAATTAAGAGTAACTCCAAGAGAGTAGCCATTTGGAGTTTGGACCATGTAATCTAATTTTGGGTATTTTCAGTAGAAATAAGACTCCAACAGCTATTCTATCCCGCAGTCTAAAATAACAAGTTGTCCAATCTGTTTATCTCGGTTGGTAAATAAAGCTAGCCGGGGACGCTTGCTATCCGACTCCTGCACACCCCTCGCGCACCTGCCGCCAGCGTGTTAGCGGCGTCGTGTACAAAGGCAAAAGCTAGGCATAGAACACTCCGGCTGTCATAGGGTCTACTACCCTCGACATGGCCACTGTCACGAACGAGGAGGCTTGTATGTACGTGTTGTAGCTGGGTCCTTCTCCATCGAATCAAGATCGACGCATACATCCACGCCGTGTACAAGTGGCTGTGGCTCGCACCCAATGACGGCGAATGAGGACATGACCAACAGCTTTCGCATCTAGATCGACGCATGCAGGACCGGCATCGCGTACAAAGCGAAATCTGGCTTTCGGGCGGATGCTGCTACCTCTGTTCTCGGTGTGTGCGGGCGGAGAAGAAAGGATAACGTGGCAATGTCAAAAATAGAGAATGGAAAATTTAGAAAGGCCATTGGATTACTCTAATTTTTTTAGAGGGTGTTTTATTTTAGCAAATGGCTAAATCATGGATTTAGGAATCTAATTTTGCATAATCTCTTGGAGTTGCTCTAAAGGAAGCAAGTGATCATTATGGGCCAATTTGGCAAAACTCCGCCTCTAGTTTCTTCAAAGCGGAATCCGTGGAACCATATCAAACGCTAAAAATACAACTGGATTTTAGTGGCGGAGTTGATGAGAATTATTTATCTATTTACACTTTGGGAGCTTCAAAAAAAATCCACTCTCCACCTATTCCTACAGCTCCCCTTTCAATCGCACTAGAATCACTTCAGAATTGATTCTCATTTGGTCCCCACCTCGCTCCTCCACCAGAACCACTCTACCGGAGACTTAAGAAGTGAAGCTCAAGAATCAACAAGGAGAACTCATCCAAACTAGCCCATATTTGAACCCGGTGTATCTGTTTTTATATTGTTTTAATTGCTAACTTTTTTGTAAAAGTTTTGTAGAGTCTATTCACTCCTACCTCCTCTAGTCATCAAGTCGGTCCTTTCAGGGCTATTGTCGACGTAGCCAAATCAACGTCGAACTTTCATGGTTCATTATGTGTTTTCATAGTCACTTGTTTTGTCGGAGTATCTAGTTGGTTATGCAATTTTTATTTCTTATTTGATCATGCCGTAACCTGTTATAATAAAGCTGAAATGATTTTTTTGTCCTCAATATGAACTTGAATAATGCTAACTACGAATCTGGTATGATAGTCAAATTTTGATAGCGATATTGGCTAGAACAAATAAAGATATGACCTAGTTGGGAAGAGGACAAAAAAACATTGTCTAGTGATATGTACTAGAGTTGTGATATATGTACATTCAACTATTTTATTTCCACTCATTTCGGTTCCTAATACAAAAACCACATATATTTATGTTATATTATTTTTCTTGCAGATGCAAGTGCTTGAAAGATCACGGGGTTAACCCTTATATATGAGAAGTGCTATTAACGAGTTAAATCTTGACATTGTTACATAACATTCAACATCATGTATCTATATGGCCTCCATAATTTATTAGAGTTGTAGCGTTCAATTATTTTATTTCCACTCGTTTCAATTATATTTATTTATACCATAGAAACCATACATATTTAGTTATATCTCTTGCATGTAATGCAAAATTGCAAATGCTCGGAAGATTGTGACGTGGGCCTATGCATATGACCATGTTGAATTTTAGCTCCGTTACATGTCGTGCAACAATATGTATATTAATTTTAATTTTTGAAATTAAAAGGTGGTTCCAATCTTCGTGGAAAATTTTCAACAATATAATTTAGAAACTACGTCTTAAATATCCAACAATTTTTTCTATTATATGTATACTATGTCATCTATCATAACCATAAAAACGTTCGTGTCGCACACATGGCTACTAGTGGTATAGAAAAGTGGACAAACTTCTATACCATTTTTTTTCTCCGATCACACAAAAGGTATGCGTGTCTTTGTATTAAGATAGGGAAAAAGTTTAATATAACACGTCTTAACGGCGCCCTAGGGGGTCAGAAGAGTTGCACGTGGACAAACTTCTATGTCATCACAAATTAGTTTTCCCCCCTAATGCACCATGAAATATATCCTCGTAGACTCGTAGTACATCTATTTAGAAAATATTAGATAGAGATAAAACCTTGTTTATATACTTATTACAAAATATAAGTAAATAATATTTTTTATCTGCCCATTTAGAAAATAAAAAGCAGGCGGGAAATTAAAAATTACTTTCAATGCTTGGGGAAATTGAAAATACTTCTGAGGCTTGGGCCTTCCTCGTTACTTACGGGCTTACGGCCCAAACCATTATATTGTGTGGGCCAGCTAACCATTCAAGGCTAGAAAGAAGAACAAGCACAAGCTTTACCTGACCTGACCTGGGACTCACGCGTCCTCTCCTCTCCCTTCCTCCAATCCAACTCCAACTGAATCAGTCCCCGATGGCGCCCCGCGGCCGGACCCTGCTCCTCCCGCTCGCCGCGGCCACCGTCCTCGTCGCCTCCACCATCTTCCTCTTCGCCGCCGTCGGCGCGCGCTGGCGTCCTGCCGACTCCGGCCTCCCCGTCCCGCCCCACCACGCCTTCCCCACGGCCGTCCCCGCGACCGCTTCTTCCTCCAACGCCACCACCGCCAACAAAGAGCTCTCCTTTCTTGACGAGAACGGCCAACCCGACGACCCCTCCTCCGCCTCAGCATCCAGATCCGCCTCCGCCTCCACCTCCACCTCCGGCACCGGCGCCGTCAGATGCGACCCCCGCGCCGCCGCTGCCATCAAGGTGTTCATGTACGACATGCCGCCCGAGTTCCACTTCGGCCTCCTCGGCTGGTCACCGCCGTCCCCTGACTCCGTCTGGCCAGACGTCACGCCCGGCGCCCCGCCGCCGCGGCGCTACCCCGGGGGGCTCAACCAGCAGCACAGCGTGGAGTACTGGCTCACGCTCGACCTCCTCCTCTCCTCTTCCTCCTTGCCGCCCCCCTGCGGCCGCCACTCCGCAGTGCGGGTCGCCGACGCCCGCGACGCCGACCTCGTCTTCGTCCCGTTCTTCGCGTCCCTCAGCTACAACCGCCACTCCCGGGCCGTGCCGCCCGACAAGGTCAGCAGGGACAGGGCACTCCAGGAGAAGCTGGTGGCGTACCTCACGGCGCGGCCGGAGTGGAGGAGGTTCGGTGGCGCCGACCACGTCATCGTCGCGCACCACCCCAACAGCTTGCTGCACGCCCGGGCGGCGCTGTCCCCCGCCGTCTTCGTGCTGTCGGACTTCGGGAGGTACCCCCCGAGGGTGGCCAGCTTGGAGAAGGATGTCATTGCGCCGTACAAGCACATGGCTAAGACGTTCGTCAATGACTCGTCCGGGTTTGATGACCGGCCGACCCTGTTATACTTCCGGGGAGCAATTTACAGGAAGGAGGTAATTGTGCTTGCTGCAATCTGACGATTAATTTTGTTGGTTCTTGGAGTTAGACATTATGAAGCTTTGAAGCATTGAACATTCCACTAGTTGGTTCTATGAGTTCATCATTGTGAAGCTGTCAAGCATTGAACATTCTGTTAGATGGTTCTATGAATTAATCATTGTGATGAAGCAGTCAAGCATTGAACACTATACTAGGAGAAGTATTATATGAGTTAACCAATATGAAACTGTCACGCATCAAGTGTTCTACTAGGATAAGTAGTCTAATACCATAAAAAATGTCTTTTGTGATCAAGACTCCTTTTTTTGGCAAAACTTGTCAAAGATAAATCAGGAACTGGCAAGCTATACAGTAAGAGTAGCATGATTTGGAATTTGGTGAAATTAGCTTTGTCAAATATAAATCAGGAACTAGCAAGCTATACAGCAAGAGTAGCGTAATTTGGAATTTGGTGAAATTAGCTTATGACTACAATGATGTAGGGTTCATGACTCTTACTGCTAAAAGGGACTATCCACGTGGATGTGGAGCTGGTTTATACTAAATAGATCTACAAAAGCCTTGGATTTTTTCCTTTAGAGTTAGTACATAGTTGTTCTGTTTCTTTGAAGTTCATGAATCCTGATGTAATCGTGAGTTCAGATGTTGATGTGTTTTTGATAGGACAGGTTACTGCTGTTTGAAAGCGCCACAATTTTGGCTGGCCTGTGCTGATAGTAATTACTAGTAACGTAAACTTATTATGTAGCCATGCACCATATGGTTTTTCTGAACTAAAATGGATATATGTTCTGGTGTTTGTTCTTTTAGAATCTTAGACTATGCATAATGCCCTTTCTTGATTAATCTACATCCATCACCTTATTTTAATGCTTGAACCTCTGGATGAAGTTTGTGTAATTTGATAATCTTCACTGAGGTTTACACAGGCTTTCTGAATCTTCTATATTTGTCGGAAAGACTCCTGGTTTATATTTGTTTTCTCAAGCTATTAAGTTCTAGAGGTTAATAGATTATTAATATATTCCCCATGTTTCAACGTTTTGACATTAACAAATGGTATTAGTACAGGAATGTACCAACCAATTTTGTTTACGAACCATGTATGAATTATGGAAACTAAACTATTGTGCCAACAACGTCTGTGTGAACCTATTACAATTGCTGCCAGCTAGTTATTATTTTCTTATTTAAGATAAGAATGTTAAGTGATTTTGTCATTTAGTGACAATTGGTGTTTCGTAATTTAATATGTTGCATCATCCATACCCAGGGAGGGAGCATTCGACAGGAGCTATATTATATGCTCAAAGATGAAAAGGATGTTTACTTTTCCTTTGGAAGTGTCCAGGACCATGGGGCCAGCAAAGCCAGCCAAGGAATGCACTCATCAAAATTTTGCCTAAACATTGCCGGGGACACCCCTTCTTCCAATCGCCTGTTTGATGCGATAGTGAGCCACTGTGTCCCTGTTATCATCAGTGACAACATTGAGCTACCTTATGAGGATGTGTTGGATTATTCAAAGTTCTCCATCTTTGTCCGTTCATCTGATGCTGTTAAAAAGGGTTACCTGATGAGACAGCTCAGTGGTGTAAGCAAGCAACAATGGACAAAGATGTGGAATAGGCTCAAAGAGGTGGATAAACATTTTGAGTATCAGTATCCATCCCAGAAAGATGATGCAGTCCAGATGATCTGGCAAGCATTGTCTAGAAAGGTGCCAACAATTAAGCTGAAGGTTCATAGATCTAGTAGATTTTCAAGATCTGACAGAGGAAAATAAACAGAAAAGGGTGTGTGAATCTTGTCTCTGTTGGCTAATCTAATGTAACACATTTCACTGACACAGGCTCTCAGGTTTTCTCAGTTGCACAAAATAGATAGATTGTAATATTCAGGTTATTTTAGGAAAGGTTTCTACCTTAGGATTTGTTGGCCCAGTTGAAGTGTATACTGTCAAGTCAAAGGCTTGTTGTTTTGTAAGGTATGTTAAATGTAATTATGGAAGAGTGACAATAGTTTTGCTGTTTCTGAACATTGTGGGATGAAACTGATATTCTTCTGGCACGTATCAGATTTTATTTTGCCTTTAGCTTATTCAGCCTCAATTGCCATCTTGCTGCTGGCATATGCTGGAGCCATCATTTCACTCTGTGTTGTGAAGAAATCCAGGATAGAGGAGGCCAATGTTAACCAAAGCATGTTCGCTTCTTTTATTTGAGAGTTTGCTTGTTATGGACTTATGGTTGCATCGAGTGCCTTGCAGCGTTCATTTGAGAAGTTGCTTGTGAGTACATGGTTGCTTCAGGAACCTTTGCGCTTGACGGAGGGAATCACCAATCCTCATCAGGTAGCTTGTGAGTACATTTGAGAAGTTGCTGAATGAACACTGGACTAAGAGGCGATTCACTTCCTGGCCACAAAACACCCTGATTCACTTCATGGTCACAACACCCATGATCGACCTCAAGTAATGTCGTAGCGCTTTAAGTTGAATGCTTCGCAACATATATATAAAGATGAAGATATAGCTTACAGTGAACATTCTGAATCTTTCGCTGAATTTTTGGATCACACGATTAACTAATGTTGCCGTTAACTGCCGGTTGTTGCAATCTTCCAAGCGAGTTGCCGTTAACTGCCGGTTGCTGCAATGTTCCCAGCGATGTGCGACTGAGCAGTGCAGAAGTGCAGTGGACGCCAGGACGAGTTGAAGTTTACTGAAAATACATGTTTCCCATTGAAATATGATATTGCATTCACGAGTTTGGGCTTCATAAATCTGGAAGAAGTCACACATGTCATCAACTCATCATGCTACAAGCCAAATACATCAAGCTCATTCCAAGTTCCGAGAGGGGAAAAGGAGCATGTTCGTTCAGGCCTCGCCTACTTGTTTCAGGCAAAGCACACAGCATAAACATGGGAAAGCTCTTGTTCTATCTAGCTTTAATTAGCTTTGACAATCATGGAAATCAATTTGTTCACATGTAAACGGATAGCAACACACATCCAAACTTCAGCATAAGCCAAATTTCAGCGAAGCGAACAGGGCCATGTCGAAGACACATGGTCTTGAAAAGGTCACCCATGTTAACATAGCAGTAGAATGACCCCACTATCACACTGAATCTCCACTCGGGCAGTAGGCGTCAGTCAATACTCCAGAGTAAGAAATACAGCAGCCATGGAGTCATTATGGACAGCTTCTAAATTTTGCAGCTCGAGGACAACTCAAACTTGATTCTGCAAGGCAGCAACATCTTTCGGCTTCATTGAGAGCCATCAAGTCAATTAGCTTCAGAATCACAGCAACAGCAAGTGGACCTGCCAGTAAATTTCTGTAAACCTATATCATTACCAAGGGCCCAAGGAGAATAAGTTCAGCGTATTATCCTCCTTGTAGCTTTAAGACAAGCACAAGCTTGCTGTTGAAGCATAGGAGAATCACCAAAAACACTGGGCTTGAGAGGCAATTCACCTCCCCGACTCCTCTTGAACAAAAGCACAAGGAAAAAAAAATAGCCACCATTAAATCACATTCAAGGTACAGAACCGGGAGAACAGAAGGCGACAAATAACCCATAGGATACTAACAACAAAGTGAGCCAAATGGTGGCAAACACTGCCTCACTGGGGCCTGCTCATTCTACAGGCACTGTTGTTGCCATCAGGGCACACCCAAACACGTGATACCTCAAACAAGCTGTGTTCAAGCAGGCGAGCAGAACATATATAACATAGTATGGATTCGGGATAGTGTACATTTCCCATTCTTAATGACCAGCTAAACGTTTATGGCTATTAGCTGACAAAGTGAAAAAATGGAGTAAATGTTGGGACCTGTTCATCCTACAGGTACAGCATAAATGCCATATGAGCAACTTAAAAGTACCAAATATATATGATGAGCCTGTTCGCTGGTTGGTTTCTAGACTGATAAGTCCGGCTGGTGCTGATTTGTTGTGGGAGGAAAACACTATTGGCTGACTGATAAGCCCTGACTGAAACCAACAAGCGAACATGCTGGATATGTCAGGTTAACTGAACCTGATGGACAAACTGGAAGCAAAGGTGGTTAAATAGGCAATTGTGTTCCATCTTAAGAATTATATGATTACAATGGCAAGTGAATGATCAGTAGAGAGGGAATCAATGAACATAGCGTGTTCATGAATCCTGATGTAATTGTGAGTTCAAATGTTGATGTGTTTGATAGCACAGGTTACTACTGTTAAACTTTGGCTAGTCGGTGCTGATACATCTAGTTACTAGTAACATAAACTTATTATGTACCTATGCACCAAATGTTTTTTTTTCTCAACTAAAATGGATATAGGTTCTGGTGTTTGTACTTTTGGAATCTTATATAGGTAGTAGGTGGTTCAACTATGCATAAGTCCCTTTCTTGATTAATCTACATCCATTTCCTTGTTTTAACGCTTGAAAGTTGAACCACCGGATGAAGTTTGTGTAATTTGATAATCTTCACTGAGGTTTACACAGGCTTCCTCAATCTTCTCTATGTCGGAAAGACTCTTGTTTTATGTTTGTTTTCTCAAGCTATTAGGTTCCAGAGATTAATTGATAATTAACATCTTCCCCATGTTTCAACCCTTTGACATTGACATTCCTTACAGTGAACATGAAGATGAAGATACAACTTTCCTTACAGTGAACATTCTGAATTTTTGGATCACATTATTAAACATGTTGCGGTTAACTGCCGGTTGCTGCAAAATCTTCCAAGCGAGTACTAACTACCAGGGCGAATAATTCCTGAGCTGGTGTGGTGGCGGAGCACAAGGCCGTGTCCGACCGAGCAGTGCAGTGGACGACGGGACGAGTTGAAGACTTTGAAGTTCTGTTGATATATGTTTCCTATTGAAACATTATATTGCATTCACAAGTTTGGGCACTCACACATGTCATCACCTCATCATGCTACAAGCCAATACACAAGTTCATTCCAAGTTCCAAGAGGGGGAAAGGAGCATGTTGGTTAAGGCTTCACCCACATGTTTCAGACAAAGCGCACAGGCACAGCATATAAATATATAAAAGCCCTTCGTTCTTGCTAGCTTTAATTAGCTTTGACAATCATGAAAATCGATTTGTTCACATGTACACAGATAGCAATAGACATTCTAACTCATTTCGGCAAGCAATTTGTTTACAGTGAACATGTTAACATAGCAGCAGAATGACACCACTATCACACTGAATCTGCACTTGGGAAATAGGAATCAGTCAGAATTAAAAAATACAGCAGGCGCCATATCACCCGAATCAGTCAGAATTAAAAATACAGCAGGGGCCATATCACCCAGAGAAATAATAACAATTTGTTTACAGCTTCTAAATTTTGCAGCTACAGGATAACAATACCAAATATCCATTCCATGTATTTAACTCCAACTTCATTCTGCAAGGCAGCAACATCTTTCTGCTTCATTGAGAGCCATCAAGTCAATTAGCATCAGAATCACAGCAGCAGCAAGTGGTGTAAGCCTAAAACATTACCACGGCAAATAAGTTCAACATATTATCCTCTTTGTAGCTTTATAACCAAGCACAGGCTTGCTGTTGACCCATAGGACTCCGAGGCGACAATCACAAGGGCACAAATCAGCCAGACAGCCACCATGAAATCACATTTTCAAGGTACAAAACTGGGAAAACAGAAGGCTACAAATAAACGATAGGGCACATTACTTGCAAGTTGCAGGACAAATTATGATCCAATTGTTCAACAAAGTTTAAACAAAAGAATATGCATCTGACAACCTAGCATAATAAATTTGTTAACTTTTCCATTTCACAATCAGCTAATAATGTATGGATGGCAACTAAGTGGGACAAATGGTGGTAAACATTGGGACCTGCTCACCCCACATCCACTGTTGTTGCCGTCAGGGCAGCGTATTACTCCAAAACAGACGACACTTCAACAAGCTGTGTTCAAGCAGGTAAACAGAACATATATAACCAGGATAATATGGAGTATGTACATTTCCCATTCTTAATGATCAGCTATAAACATGTATGGCTACTAGCTGACAAAGTGAAAAAATGGAGTAAATGTTGGGACGTGTTCATCCCACAGGCACAGCATAAAAGCCATAGGGGCAACTTAAAAGTCCCAAATATATGACATGTCAGGATAAACTTAAAGCCTAATGGACAAGTTAGAAGCAAAGGTGGTTAAATAAGCAATTTTGTGTTCCATCGTAAGAATCACAAAAACTGCAGCAAGCAAATGATCAGTACAGATTGAATCATGGCACATAAAACTATGTATGAAAATTTCCGATCCTTATCCTTAATGATTAGCGGAAAACATAATATCAGCTCACAGTGAATATGGTAGTACATCTCAGGGACCTGTTCATCCCACAGGCACTATGCAATTGCCAGTGGGGTAGACGTAAAGTCCCAAACATAAGTTCTACATTGTACCCAAAACTTCCACCTCGCTAATCCAAAATTGAGGATGGAGCTCAATACCATATTAATGCCAGCCGCTAAATCAACACTGGACCAAAGGTGGTTTATCATATGATCCTCATGACCACAAAACATGCATAATCATGTCAACTTGTCAAGCAAGGCCGAGTTGCTTTAGGGCCTGTTTAGATCCATAACTAATAGCTCAAAATGAACTACCTAGCTAATTAAAGGTTAGCTAAGTACCAGGCTAAACACCACTAACAATTAGACAGAGAATACAAACAGGACCAAACTAATAGATTAGCTAATAGCCTTACCAACAAAAAGCTATTAGCTGCTTTTCTATGCTAGCTAACAGACACCTGAATTGATTGATTGGCAGTGTAGCACCTAATATGAGCAAAGGCAGCCAAACATCATACATCATACATTGAGCAAATTCATCGTGATACACATGGCCACAAGTGCATTCTAAATGTTTAACCATGAGGATAACCATCAATGCAACAGTATGAATTAATTTCAGATGTGCAGAGGATTGCAACAGGTGGTAGAAGCTAATCTTATTAAGCAAGTGCAATAACTATTGACGCTGGACAAATTTAATGATACGCAGACGTTTACATCAGTAAAATCTTTATGCAAACGTAGCTTAACATCCACCATCTCACAGTAGTACAGCAGAACCCAACAAAGCAACCAGAACATAAGATTGACTCATTACGAACCAGAACATAAGATTCACTCATCGCGAACAAGGATCCAAAGGCACCCCCAATAACAGAGCCGACTAAAACGAACAAGGATCCAATCATCCAAGGCCACCCGCAATAACAGAATCGACTAAAACGAGGAAAAGTACAAGGCAAATATCACATCACTTTTGTCAATGACGCGAAGGTGATATAGAATCAGACCCCAATAATAAAACGATTAAGCACAAACAGAAGACAGAAGCCATTCAAGAGACAAAAAAAAATATTTTTAAATAAAAATACTTCTAATTTTTCGAAAAAGAACAAATCAAAGGAAAGCAGAACATCACGAATTGTTGTGTGTTTTGGGATGAACCCGCGCGGCCATCATCGCGCGCGCTCCGACCGCGGGTAGTCGTCATCGCTCGTCGCCGGCAGCAACCACGGGTGCCCGGGCCGCCTCTTTCCGACGTACCGCGCCACCAACCCACTAACCCTTGTAGGTCGGCGAGGGCAACACGGCCACGGGGAGGCGACTCCGGCTGCCGCGGCGCCGCCGGACGGCGCGCTCGGATAAGATCAAGTAGTGTTCGTGAGGGCCGAAACCCTAGCTTCTTCGTCATCCCCCCTTGGCCTTTTATCAGAACGAAAACTTGGGCCTCACAAGTCACCAGTTTCCCTTCCAAGGCCCAACCCAACAAGTCCTCACCATATAATGGGCCCCCAAGAACTACACAGGCCCAGACACCATAAACTAAACCCTTCGGCCCCACATGTCATTCTCCGAGCGGCGGCGATCCCACAAAACCCTAACGCTTCTAATCCAAGCTATAAAAGCGTTCCCCTCCTTTCGCTCCCCCTAATCCGCCGCCACCTCCCCGAGCCGCCGCAGCCCTAGCGCGCCGCCGCTGCGATCCCCGCAACCATGGCTACCGTGCTGCAGCGCCCGGCCGCGGGCACGGTCCAGTGCTTCGGCCGCAAGAAGACGGCCGTGGCCGTGGCCTACACCAAGCCGGGGCGCGGGCTGATCAAGGTGAACGGCGTCCCGATCGAGCTCATCCGGCCGGAGATGCTCCGCCTCAAGGCCTTCGAACCCATCCTGCTGGCGGGGCGGTCCAGGTTCAAGGACATCGACATGCGGATCCGCGTCCGCGGCGGCGGGAAGACGTCGCAGATCTACGCCATCCGCCAGGCCGTCGCCAAGGGGCTCGTCGCGTACTACCAGAAGTACGTCGACGAGGCCGCCAAGAAGGAGGTCAAGGACATCTTCGCACGCTACGACCGCACCCTCCTCGTCGCCGACCCCAGGCGCTGCGAGCCCAAGAAGTTCGGTGGTCGCGGCGCCCGCGCCAGGTTCCAGAAGTCCTACCGTTGAGCGCTTGCTTGCCCGCGCTTGCCGGACCGTTGCCTGTATTGTCCCAACATGCCACCTCGGTGCCTATGCTCTATATTAGATGCTGTGTTACCTTCATCTTTAGACCTTTTAAGCCTTGGCAAAAACGTTTTTGACATTGTGATATGAAATGTGAGAAATTTTGAAGACTACCTCTGAAGTTTTGTTTTGCTTGTTACATGTGTTAAGGAATTTATAATATATTTATCATAAATTTATGATATGTACTGGTTGCCTTTCAGTTTTGCAGCATGCATTCTTGTTCTTATGCTCATTTGTGCTGATTAGTTGTGTTAATGTTTAGCTGACTTGATTAGACGATATGACTTCACAGAACTCTGTTGGCATGATTGGCAATTTGTAGGCGTCTCAGGCCTTATTTTTGTTTTGTTTATATTTATGCTATTTAAGGGCAAGAGTAGTGTTTAAAGTTTACTTGGATTCTTATCTAATTCTTGTGTTATTTATGGATGGACAGCATGATTGGTGTGGTTTGCTTGTTTGTCTTCATATTTGCTAGATGAGTGATTCTTAGTTTAAGTGATGTTTGGATCATGTTGGATATAGGTAGGAAATGTTAATCCTTCACACACTAGTCCATCTGGTATTAACTGTTTAGGAATCTGTATCTATGGAGCCTTAGTTTGTACTCCTGCGGCCCATGTGAAGTTACACCGAAAATTTACAGTAAAGAAATCATAAAGTATCAATGTTTGATTTGCCAAATGTTTCATTTTGATTATATGATGCCTTTTAACAAATTTGTACTCCTGCGGCCCATGTGAAGTTACACTGAAAATGAATAGTAAATAAATCGCAAAGTATCAATGTTTTGATTTGCCAAATGGTTCCATTTTGATTAGATGACGCCTTTTAACAAATGCCCTTCTGTTATGAATGTGGCATGTAATGTAATGCATTTTGAATTGCCAAATGGTTACATTCTGATTGGTCAGGCATCTTTCCTTTGTTTGATTGATTTGCTCTATTGTGACACAATTCATATCTGTTGATGTGTTTAGGATTTTGGTGTATCACATACGATTAGATTTTGTTGTATCATACATGATACGATAAAAAATGTGTGAGGCTTTATTTCTGACATATTCATCGAACCATGTTGCTGAGATAGGGAAAATGGTTGCAAGCCTGTATGTAATTTATCTTTTGCTAGACTAAATAGTGGACATGGAATTGTGTCTATTTAATCCTGTTTCATTGGATTTATTGATTGCCTGCATTGCCTAGTGATGCTCTTGCTGGTGGATCGGTTCTTGCATGTGGGTGATTGAGCATTTTGATTCAATTCTAGCCTTTTGTAACTTTTGTAGTTTGAAATGCCCAATGCTTGGTTTATGTGTCATCTGATAGCTCATTCTGCTAGTTGGAGCTAAAGCTGGCTTATATTAACACAAAAATGAAGGCATCATCTTGAGCTGTAATTCATTCCTGAGTGAGTTGCATCATGTTGAGCTGTAATTCAGTCCTGAATGAGTTTATTTTGTGGATATACTGTGATTCTAAGCCTGCAATGCTAATAAAATGTGTGAAACCTAATTCATTCTGATTGTCTGCAAAGTGTTCCCGTCACATGCATTTGCACTGGACTTCTGTGTACGGGCTTATTTCTGAGTTACTGGTGGAGAGAATTGACGAAGCTGATGCATCATGTGAGCTTCTTCATTTCTGTATGGCAGAGAAGATGCTTAGAGAACTATCTTTCGAGATTTAATTCCAATTCATTCATGCAGACGGCAACTGAGATTGATTCCTTGAAAAATAGTTCCATTTACACCCAAACAAGAAGATTTCCATTTACACCCAAACAAGAAGATTGAATCTGATTTCTAAAATGAGTAGTATATACTTCAAAAGGAAACGTAAGACTGAATCCAGAAGGCTGTGGTGCGGGCCGGGGCCCCGGTATGGCCGACCTCCCCAGCGTCGAGTACACTGCCTCCACGGCAGCCGGCAGGTCGTCGACTGCCGACACCTCACCTCAGCGAGTTCGTCGGACCATGCCTGCGTTGGGGTGTACTTTTTTTTTGAGAGAGAGAACAGGAGGGATCGAAGTCCGATCCCTACCGGAAAAAATTAAAGCGAAGAACAAAGTTTCAGGAGACAGGTCGAGAGCAGCAGCAAAAGAAAATTAAGATACAAAGAAAAAAAATAGGACAGATTACACAAGCTGCTCTAGCCATAAGGAAATGAAAGGAAGATATTTTTTCTTCGCGCGAAGAATAACCAAGCCGAAGTTCTCTTTGAATAGAAACTTGCAGTGCTCTAAGGAGGCAGCTTCACCTCTAAAGATGAGATTATTCCTGACAATCTAGATACTCCAACATTATCTCCATGAAGGAGACTCCCAACTAAGATTCAGTGAACTTAAAACAATCACCCCAATGTAATTCCAGCAGGATCTAGCAAACCTGCATTTCAAAAATAGATGCTCCACAGTCTCCTCACAAGACTCATCACAGAGAACACAGTCAAAAGATTGGAGTTGCATATTCTTCCTTTTTAGAATATTCCTTGTACTTAACCTATCTTGAACCAAAAGCCAAAAGAAGACTTTATGTTTGTGTTGACAGCAAGATTTCCAAATCTACTTAAATATTGGATGAACACTGCAGGTTCCCATTAAGTGTTTGTAGGCTTTTGAAGAAGAATAAGCATTAGAACCCCATATGTAGTTCCAGATATCACTGTCTTCAGTTTCTGGCAAATTTTGAATGATAGACTCCGGCAGTGCCCACTGATCAAAGGCTTGAACAGAGAGAGGGAAGCTAAAGAGGGAAGCCAAATCCATCTGAGCTCTGGCCTCAACAAAAGAGATATTTGGCTTCTTGGCAAAGGAGTGCAGCTCTAGAAATTCCAGCTTTGAAACATTTCCTGCCCACAAATCATCTCAAAGTAGACAGATATTCCCACTTGCAACATTAACTGAAGCCATACCTTTGAATTTGTCCAGCACCTTCAAGAGATCTCTCCACCAAAAGGATCCCTTTCTAATATGATTGGGTAGTTTGTCATTGGAGTAGTATTTCTCCCAAACCAAGTACACCCATGGAATATCCATTTTGTTAAAGAATTTATGTAGGTTCTTGATTAATAAAGCATCATTTTGTGTCCTGATATCAAGAACTCCCAGACCTCCAAGCTCCTTAGGTTTAGTGACTAAGGTCCAAGCAGCTTTGGAATTCCTTTGGAATTCACTCTGTTATTACTGCCATTACCTCTCCAAAGGCAGCTTTTCCTAGATTTATCAATCTGCTCTATCACAGTGCCTTGCAGTGCAAAGGTGCACATGAAAAAGGTAGGAAGAGCGGTGAAAACAAAATTTGTGATCTGAAGCCTCCCATAATGAGATTAGGAAGAGCGGTGAAAACAAAAACCAGTCTTTTTTCACATCTTGAGATTATGGGCAGGTAGTCATCAATCCTTGGCTTGGTGGAAACCAATGGCAAGCCAAGATAGGTAAAAGGCAGACTTCCAGTAGAACATCCAAAGGTGAGGGCAAGATGCTTTAGCTTCTCAGAGCTTGTATTTATAGGGACCATTATTGACTTCTAAAAGTTAACTTTTAACCCAGTTGAAAGAGCAAAGGAATTGAGAAGAGCCTTCAAGACAAAGAGCTGCCTGCCACAACCTTCGAGAATTATTAATGTGTCATCTGCATATTGCAATATAGGTAAATCTGATGTATACTGCAGAGGAACTGGCAACTTGAGAAGACCCTGTTCTTTAGCTCTGTTAATTATAGATTGGAGTAGATCTGCAGCCAGCACAAATCACAATGGGGAAAGAGGATCTCCTTGCCTCACACCCCTTTTGCAATGAAACACTTTACCAGGCACCAAATTTAACAGGACAACAGAGGTACCAGAACTGAAAATCAATCTCATCCATTCAATTCATTTATCCCCAAATCCCTTTGCCTCTATGATCCTGAATGATAGCTTCATGCTCAATCTTATCAAAGGCTTTCTCAAAATCTAACTTGAGAATAACCAATTCCTTCTTGGACTTATGACATAAATGGAGGTACTTTCGAAAGACCAAAGCCGACAATCTCGGATGGACTGGTCTTTATAAACCATATTGATTTTTGTGGACTAAGCCGGTTATGTGAGGTTGCAATCTATTGGCCAACAGTTTGGTGATGATTTTGACAGAGGAATTTAGGAGGGAAATGGGTCTAATGTCATTTATAGAAATGTTCCCATCCACTTTGGGGATCAGGTGATCAAAAAACTGTTAATACTTCTAAGACAGAGATTGCCCTAATAGAAATCCATGCAAAGCTTGTAGAAGTCATGCTTAATGATTCTCCAACACTTTTTGATAAAATTGTTATTAAACCCATTAGGCCCGTGGAGATTTATCTCGAGGGCGGGGGCTTGAACAACGCTGACAATGTACTGATTGGTAAAGGGCTGCACTAATGAGTGAAGATGAGGACCAGGCCAAAGAGAGAAGGAGGTCAAAGAGCATTTCATGGAATTCTGTGGCACCAAGCCAATCTTTGAAGCTTTTCCAGAGAATGTCAGCCTTCGGATGATGATCTTGAACAAGGTTGCCAGTGGGATCTTAAAGAGAAGTAATTAGATTCTTTCTATGCTTTATAGAGGCATTGGCATGAAAGAAACAAGTGTTCTCATCACCTAATTTGATCCATTTAATAGCACCTCTTTGTTTCCAATATATCCTCTGTTGATGCAGGAGATTGACCAATTTATCACAAAGAAGCTCCTAAAAGTTCCATTCCATAATTGTAAGATCCCTCCATTCCTCCAACAACTCAAGATAAGAAAGAACCAGCTTGGCAGAAGAGATTAGAGCTTTTAGGTTGGAGAGTTGCTTTTGCCAAGATCTTAAAGTACCTCTCAGACTCTTAAATTTGGCTGTCAAAATTTTTGCTTGATCTTGGATGTTTGGAGAAGTAGACCAACACTTTGCTCAACCAAAGGTAAGAACCCATCATGCAAAGATCAACAATTTTCAAATCTGAAGATTTTACCTCTGAGAATTTATGTCCTCACTTCAATAATACAGGGCCATTGATCATACACTTCCAGAGTATTACGCCTTGGGGTGTACTTGCTTGCGGGACCCACCTAAGCCTCCAGAGTCGGCGCCATGTTCGCTTGAACTGCTTAACATGGTATATTATTTTTCTCTCACAACAAAATAAGATCATCAGAACTTTATCACCAAGCAAAACCATCACCCGAGCAAGGCGTGTCGGTTGGTCGTTTCAGCACTCTTGCTTCTGTCCATAGAGGTGCCAGATATACTTTGATCCAACGCACACCTGTTAAGCCGGGAACTCTCTTCAAGACGAAATGACGAATGGAGTGTACAAGGTTCTTCAAAGCTCTGCTCTTTTAATTGTTAGTAGACATGAAAGTGGCAATGCGTCTCTTATCATTCAGGTTGGTCTCTAACATTTGTCGCAGGTCGCATCTGGTCCTCAGATTTAACGAAGGTAGTCGTGATGTCAGTTTTTTGAGTTCAGTAAAGCTCATTTATATCTTCAACTCAAAGATATCAAATCCTTAAAGACAATAGATCGATTAAATATCGAGAGAAGCACCTGTTGTACTATTGGAGTGTACGTGACAAGAAGGATCCTCAATATCTTTACAGTGGCCATTTGTCTCTTGAGGCTCAGTGCCCTCGTTGGATTCGTCACTTATGTTTGCATTAACAATTTTATGATGTCCTTTTTCCTATATAAGCTCGCCAATGTGTACCTTTACCAATGAGCTCATTGTAACTTGTGAGAGCCATTACCTTGACTCTCTTGTCGTAACTTCGGAGCTATATACAAGTTAGTTCTTGGGATGGGAGCTTCCAAATGTTTGTATTTGGTTTTATTGTTTAATATTTACGAGTTTTTATAGAAAAAAAAACGTCCTTCTCCATCTTGATTCCAGACACAGCCATGCGGTGCATCAGGTATTTCCGACCCGTGCTCCTGCCGACAACGAGCTCGGCCATCGAACGGACACGTTGCTAAATACCGGGCCCGGCCCGGCCTGCGTTCCCTCCAAGAGGGCCCGGCCGCTTCCCTCCTCGCCTCGCCGAGACGACGAGATCCATCGCCACCATCAGAATCGCAGACCAGACCAGGTGATCCACGGCGGTGGTGGCGATGGCGACCCGCTACTGGATCGTCTCTCTCCCCGTGCAGACTCCCGGCGCCACCGCGACCTCGCTCTGGTCGCGCCTGCAGGACGGCATCTCCCGCCACTCCTTCGACACCCCGCTGTACCGGGTAATCCTGTCGCTTTCCCTCCCTCCTTCACTCCCCTCCCTCGCCGGAAACGAATCATCTAGAATACACGCCTCGCCTGACCTCCTCCCGCTCTGGCCGCGCAGTTCAACGTCCCGGACCTCCGCGTCGGCACGCTCGATTCCCTCCTCGCGCTCAGCGACGACCTCGTCAAGGTATGTATGCTTGGGCCGCCCAGCCCCTTCGATTGCATCTCCCCTCTCTTCTAGAGTTCGCTGCTGCCCCGAGCATTAGACTAGTTCCATGGCACTCTGCCTCACTTGCCCTCCCTCGCCTTCGCCAGTCCAACGTGTTCGTCGAGGGCGTGTCGCACAAGATCCGGAGGCAGATCGAGGACCTCGAGCGCGCCGGAGGCGTCGACAGCGGGGCCCTCACCGTCGATGGCGTCCCCGTCGACACCTACCTCACCAGGTCAGGTCTGCTGCTACCTGCCTACTGTCCTGTCCTGTCTGTCCAGCCCGCCGATCGGATTCGGATGGGTGGTTTGTTTGTTGCCCCAACGTGTGTGTGGCTCAAAAGCTAGCTTGTTTGTTTGGGTTGTGCTTGTGCGTGCGTGCAGGTTCGTGTGGGACGAGGGCAAGTACCCCACAATGTCGCCGCTCAAGGAGATCGTCGGCAGCATCCAGTCGCAGGTCGCCAAGATCGAGGATGACATGAAGGTTGGTTTGTTTCTAGTAATACAACTCTGATGCTGAGTCAGAATGTTCTGTAAAGATCCACCAATATTAACCTCACATAATGATCAGACTTGTCACTGCATTTGTTTAGCATGCTATTGGATACAGACTAAGGTTGCCCTTTATAATTCACCGCGGACTTCTGTAGTTTTATATATCTAGATTTAATTAAAAGGAGCCCTGTGCTGTTACTGGAGCATTCTGTGGTTTCATGTGTTTTTTGTTTCCCATAATACGGAGTAGGTGCCTAAATGATGCATGGCTAGTTACTCGACCATTAACTCTACTTCTCCTTTTACTAGCATTCAGTCTTGATGCCAGATTTTCTCAGGATAAAGCAAACCCATGTATAACATACCCCTTGAATATCTATCTGCCTGTGATTAGTCCTTCCCATCTCTATCTATGATTCTTTTTTTTCCCTGCTCATTATCAGCTGTATTCCCACGTGGGGTTTGGTCTCAAGTTATGACCTTCATTTCATTGTGGTATTACACGATGATGGTTTTTGTAATATTGTTGGCTGGAAACTGAATTTACAATGACTAAAAAATATTCTATTTTCTAGGTTCGAGCAGCGGAATATAACAATGTAAGGAGCCAGCTTAGTGCAATCAACAGAAAGCAAAGTGGGAGGTATTGCCATACTTTTATCACTAGTTTTTTGGAGGATTTTTTTTATATATATGCTTATGTTAGCTGTGATCCCAACCATTATTCAATTCCTTTGTTGTTTTAAGTAATGCAAATGGGAAAGCAGAGTGAGGTAAACTGTTTCTTGTTATGCACTGATTAATTTGCCTTTTCTTCTGTGACAGCTTAGCAGTTCGTGATCTTTCCAATCTGGTAAAACCAGAGGACATGATCAGCTCAGAGCATCTAGTAACACTTCTTGCTATTGTTCCAAAGTACTCCCAAAAAGACTGGTTGTCAAGCTATGAGTCACTCGACACATTTGTGGTAATGTTAATTTTCTGTTGTGCTTCATTTATGATGATTTTCAGCCTGTTTTATAACCTCCTAAATTGGCAAGTTTTCCTTCAAACTTTCATTTAAAATAGAAATTGAATACTGTTTTAATCTGCCCTTAGGAGGATCTTACTTTCATAAAAAAGCTGTCAAGTTGCTCTAAACTGTATCCCTTATTTCATTGTGTATATTCATATTTAGTATTCAGCACCCCTTTCATTTTGAGCTGAACATGATTTTATAGGTACCCAGGTCATCTAAACAGCTCTATGAAGACAATGAGTATGCCCTCTACACTGTAACACTTTTTGCTAAGGTTGTTGACAACTTTAAGGTTCGTGCTCGCGAGAAGGGTTTCCAGGTAAGGTTTCCTTAAACGCCTTATGCTTTTTAACATTAATCTGGCAACCCATCTTTAGTCTTTTGTCATTCACTAAATTTTATTCATTTTGTTCCAGATTCGTGATTTTGAGTATAGTCCTGAAGCACAAGAAAGTAGAAAGCAGGAGATGGAGAAGTTACTGCAAGACCAGGAAGCTATGAGGACCTCGCTTCTGCAATGGTGCTATGCCAGCTACAGTGAGGTACTTAGCCTTTCCCAACATATTCCAGTGGTCCTATGATCCTACCCACAATATCATTTCTTTCCTTACAAATGCAACTGGTTTTGTTTTCCTTGTGAATGTCTGAAACGTTGAATGGGAATTTGATTTTAGACCATATGTTTATATTAGAAGGGCGGGCCTGGTGCAAGCGGTAGAGTCTTACCGCCTGTGACCAGAAGGTCCCGGGTTCGAGTCGCAGTCTCCTCGCATTGCACATGCGAGGGTAAGGCTTGCCACTGACACCCTTCCCCAGACCCCGCAGAGAGCGGGAGCTCTCTGCACTGGGTACGCCCTTTTTTTTATGTTTATATTGAAAGCCATTATGTTAATATTTGGTGTCACTAGACACTGAATGTGTCCTGATTTATGGGTTTAGGTCTATGAAACTCCTATTTTTCATCATAAAAAAATTCTCACTATTGGGCCTGTGGCCTTGGCTAGATTTGAGATATTTGCTTGTGCACTTGATTTTTTTAGATGGTTGCTTGAGTAAAATGACCAAAGTATTGAGGATCAAATGCTTTGTTGTTGTGGTTATACAATATGCTAATATTTGATTTGGTTTCTTTCTCATGCTTATCTTGCTTGCCTGACAACAACTCCACCTGTGTTTGACTGGATTAAGTCCCTTTTGCCTAAAAGTTCTTTCATAAGGACCTGTTCCCTAAAGGGTTGTAATTATTTTTGTGCAGGTATTCAGTTCCTGGATGCACTTCTGTGCTGTGCGTATCTTTGTAGAGAGCATTCTTAGATATGGTCTGCCACCATCATTCCTGGTAATTTGCTCTGCTGTCTGACTCTTTGTGATGCTCAACTCTATCTTGCATGTCTTGTCTGATTTTTCTATTGCATTAGTCTGCCGTTCTTTCTCCATCTACAAAGGGCGAGAAGAAAGTAAGGAGCATCTTAGAGGAGCTTTGTGGCAATGCCCACAGGTAATTCAGTGTTTGGAGTGTAGTAGTTACATTATTAAGTCACATCTTTTGTCTTGTTTTTCACTAATAAAATGCAACATTTGAATTACAGTATTTATTGGAAAGTCGAAGATGATGTGGCTGTTGCTGGTCTGGGAGGTGAATCAGAGGTCCATCCTTACGTCTCATTCACCGTAAACTTTGTCTAAGTCTAGTGTGTCCCCAATGTCTGTGGCTTGCCAATATTTTGGAGCAACTATTACCTCGAGCAATCAAAACAATCGAATGGTTCTGTATATTACTAGTGATACGCCAATTCTTTCTTTATTTGTCACTTTTATCTTATCATGTAATTTCTATTGGATAGATAAGCCGATCAATAATGTAGCTTTTGAGAGAACTGAAATAGATCGATCACCATGTAATACTTGTTCTCGTAACATCGGGCTATTGTTATTCTAATAAAGCCATGTCAAATAATTCAGATCGTTGGTCACTGAGATTTGGATTTTAACCATCGAGGCTTTCTCTAAATGGCTTCCCAAAGTTTCGAATCATGCTTGTCCAGGTTACCGTGTCCAAGAATTTCAAGAATGATTTTGAATGAAAAAAAATTCTAGGATTTCTCATATATTTTAATCAAACCCAAAAACGTTAGGATAACCAAAAGCACATATAGGATATATGTTGATGAATACCAAATACAAGGGTTACATGAATCCTTTACTTAGCACCTTCACAGTGTGATTAACCTCAGACTGAATCAGCCAAGGGCTTGGGCTACATCCGGTGGGTGCACTCGTGCATCCCCGTCGAATACCGATCGAAACCCTCGGGGCTTAAGCCTCCATCAGGGGCTCCAATCGAGGAAAGCTGGTCCTTCATAGCTTGGGGGCTCCAACCGAGGAAAGATGGCTCGGGGATAAAGCTTGAGCCTAGGACAAGGCAAACTTTATCTTACTTCCCTAAGTGATGCAGTGAATAATGTTGATCCATCCTCATCTACAAATGTCAGTACGAAGCGTAAGAGAAATGATAATGAGACTTCATCGAAATTATGGCACTGTCGTTTGAGTCATATTTTGAGGGGGAGAATTGAAAGATGAAATACTCCACCCACTAGATTTCTACCCGCTATGTCATGAACTATGTGCGGCTGCTTGCGGATTACAATGACTCGCTAAATAACCTTCTAGAATATGGGATACTGAGCTGACTGTGGTTGATAATCAAAACATGACTCCATTGGGGCATTGCATGCTCATGCTGATCACACACCTACAGTGCAAGATTGATGAGAAATCGAGGCTGTATGAGGATGAAGCCCTGCAGAACATATTGTTGATGAACAATCTGCTGTATATTATGCAGAAGGTGAAGGATTCAGAGCTCAAGACATTGCTTGGTGATAACTCGATTCGCATGCGTCGTGGTCAGATTAGACAATACTCGATCTACAGGGTATCTCCGGTCGTCATGGACTAGGGTGTTAGCATGCCTGAGAGACGATGGCCTTCCACACACAATGGGTTCATCAAGTGCACTCAAGGGTCAAGGCTGCACTGAAGGACAGGTTCATTAAGTGCTGCAACAGAGCTGGTGGTGTTCTGCAACAGTAATCACTGTTGCAGTGCATGGCAGGAGGTCAAAACACCTCCAAAGACCACCACGCTTTGGTCTGTCCTCTACCTTGATCAGAGGAAAGGGCATGACCATGCAATCACCATTATTGACCAAATGGTGTGCAGCAACAACGTTAAATGGAGAGGCACCCCAGAGCCATCTCGTGCTAGCGAATGCTAGTGAAATCCAGTGAAAGGAACCCTACACTGAGCCACTGATCAGGCAGCTGCTGAAACATTGGGACGGGTTTCCTAAACTTCTCTTCTACTAAGTTCTTGCCTGTTGCAGTGGCTAACTCCAACGAAGGTATGAGCAGCACTAGTTTTATCTATGTTCTTGTGTCCTAGCTGTAGAGCTGGATGGTCCTGTAAATTTAACACCCAGGACTGGGTTAAGGAGGATGGTCCTTTTTTCTAAAAGTTTTTTTTATAAGAACCTGTTCCCTAAAGGATTGTAATTATTTTTTGTGTAGTTATTCAGTTCCTGGGTGCACTTCTGTGCTGTGCGTATCTGTGTAGAGAGCATTCTTAGATATGGTCTGCCACCATGGCACCATACATTCCTGGTAATTTGCTCTGCTGTCTTTTGACTCTGTGTTGGTCAAGTCTACTCTATCTTTCATGTCTTGTCTGATCTTATCTCTTGCACCAGTCTGCTGCTTTTGCACCGTCTACAAAGAGTGAGAAGAAGAAAGGAGCATCTTAGAGGTGCTTTGTGGCAATGTCCATAGGTAGTTAAAGTGTTTTGCGTTGTTAAGTCACATCTTGGTCTTGCTTTTCACTATTGCGACATCTGAATTACAGTATTTATTGGAATTCCGAACGAAGGTGGCTGTTGCTGGTCTGGTAGGCGAATCAGAGGTCCATCCAGAATAGCCCAGGGATCGATAGCCTACCTGAAACCTGCTGAATCGCCCTGTAACATTTCACATTGAATACAATTTAATTCTATATTAAGTACAAACCCCATGTCATCAAATTCAATTCATTTGTTTGATTTTATACTACTCAGAAGTCAGAACAAACGAAAGTTTCTCATTTCTGATCCCAACACCATTCTACCTTCCATTGGATCAGACATGGGGGGAAGAACATTAGTTTCATTTCATTCGTTCTGTTACATTTTCACTCGATGACACATGCTCATTGATGCGTTACTCTATATATATTTCTTTTGGAGTTAAATGCACAAGCGGTCCTCACACTTGTAAGTAAGGATGAAAATGGAACGGAAATATCCCAAACCGAACCGCATCGTTTTCTATATTTAATCCGATCGAATCCGCATTTTCTTGTCCGACTTTACCGTTTTCGCTTTCGCATTTGAGATGTTTCGTATTTCAAATGTAAAAGTAGAAAACAGTTTACACATTTTTCGACCGTTTTCTACTTTTCTACTTTTAATTTAAAATATTCCGAATTTAAAATTCGGTTTAAACCGAATTTGGCCAATTGCACAGTTCATACAGCCCAATTACAGGCTGCTCACCACGCAGCTGCGTTCTTTCTACTGGTGGCTAGCTGCCCTCTCTTATAGACGGCGCCCAGCCTCATCTCTTTTGTTATGTATTTGGTCGTGCACTTGTTTAATGCTATGCACTTGAACTAGATCATGCACTTGTTAGTTGTGAACTTGTTATGTATTTGGTCGTGCACTTGTTTAATGCTATGCACTGTAGGTCGGTATTTCGTATTGAATTTTCGCATACCGACCGTATTCGACATAATTCCGCTCGAATTGGTTCGTTTCCGAAATTTTAGATATTCCGTAAGTTCGTGTTCGTTTTCGTGTCCGGCTTGTCCGCTTTCGCTTTCGCTTTCGTATTTCAAATGTAAAAGTAGAAAACGGTTGAGGAGTTTTTCGACCGAGTTCGACCGTTTTCATCCTTACTTGTAAGCGTGTGTCACATAGGTCCATGAACTTTGAAAATGTATTTTTGGGTCCTTAAACTTGCTAGGTGTTGCACCATAGGTTCATGCTTGCCATGTGAATATTTCTGGCTGACATGGCATTGCTAGCGTGACACGTATTTTTCATTTAACCCCTTATATTTATTTTTCTCTTGAAAAATAAATCCTCACGGTGCTGTCGGAGCGCAACCTCACGGTGCCGCTCGACATGGTGGACGCGTCGTCGTCCGGTGTGCTTGCCCCGACCCTGTTCTCGTTGGCACATAGCATGATCTCCTCGCTGCTGGAGTCCGTGGCCCTGTCTTTACTGGCGTGCGTGCCGGCGGCGGTCTTCTCCCTCAGCAGCTGCACCTTGATGTGTCGAGGTAGTCAGCAGCCGGCGGCGCGTCGGCCTGGCCCTGCTGCTGGCGAGGAACTGCTTCAGGTACCGAAGGACGCGGCAAATGGAGGCGAAGTGGCGAACGACGGGTGTTGCGCTGGGTCGGCGTGCCAGCACCGCTTCGTCATGGCGACCAGGTACTTGGGCGTCGAGAACAGGAACAAAGTGGCCACTCGTCAGCGTGGACGTTCTTGCTCGTCTTTCTTGTCTCCCTGCAAGTGGTTGTCCTCGAATGGGACCTTGCCCCCGTCAGCAGCTCGAAGCAGATCATCACGAAGCTGTACACGTCCACCTTCTCCATGTGCGTGTCGCGGCTCTCCTTGAGAACACGCGTACCAGATGCAGTTGCTGTCGTCGCCACCGCCTGCGTTGCCATTAGCAGATGCCTTTGCGCCGTTTGTGATGATGCATGCCCGGCCGCTCAAACCCGGCGACCTTGACGTGCACGTACCCATCGGAGTACCGCAGCTTCACGAGCACGTTGGACGGGTTGAGCTCGCCACGGGGAGCTCATCTCCTCGACGTAGCTCTCCTAATCGTGGAAGCAATCAAGCAGTACGCAGTGTGCGCCACTGACGAGAGCATGAAGACCTCGTCCTCGGCGTCCCCGATGAAATGCTTCACTGTGAAGCTCTCCTCCATCCAATGCTCCTCCTTCACGTGGCCGCCGAGGCGCCTCCGCAATCCGCATGCTGTAGTCACCGGTTAACAGGATACATACCAGGTGCAGCTTTCCCCGCGGCGGGGTCAGGACGTCGGCGAGCCGCGCTCGCCCTTAGTCAGTGGCTTTGGCACCGCCCGGCAACTTCATCTCGTCGAGCAGCTGTGACAGCAACCACCTGTCCTCTTTTCACACTGTGTCCGTCCGCGTAGTGAGTTTCTAGGACACTAAATACATATAGCTTGTCGTAGGCGTGCTGGAACAGGAGCCTGGGCTCGAGCATGCTCCTATTGTACTTGTTGGCAAGCATTAACAGCCTCTTCCGCGCAATCTCATCGGAGTCGGAACCGGCGATCTCCACGCGATCTCGTCGGCGTCGGAACCGGCGACCTCCACGGCGGCCTTGATCGCGATGGTGACGCACGAGAGGATGCCATGGAGGTGCTTCTCCACGCACTCGGTGCCGTGCGCCACCAAGGCGCGCGCCCACTAGCTGCCCCAGCCGCACGGGTTCAGGGACTAGGGAGGATTTATTTTTTAAGAGAAAAATAAATATAAGAGGTTAAGTGAAAAAATCGTGCCACGTTAACATGCCATGTCAACAAAAATAGGTCCACATGACTGGTATGGACCTATGATGTACCACCTAACAAGTTTAGGAATTCAGGAATGCATTTTCAAAGTTCATGGACCTACGTGGCACACACTTACAAGTTCGAGGACCGCTGTTGCATTTAACTTTCTTTTGCTTCATTTCAGGTGGAACCGTAGCTGATGCCATTGTATGTTTTTATTACATCCAACCAGATTTGTGCCTTGTCCCCTGGCTACAGATGACTGGCACTCTTCTTGGAGCTCGCTCCTGCGTCCTGACAGACAGCACCACAGCGTTTGTGCGCTTATTCTGAACATTCTGGGTCTGTTTCCACTGCCAGAGGGCACTGTAGAAACTCTTGAGTCGAGAAGTTCAGATAGAGACAAGACAGCTTGCTAGCTAGCTTGTTGCAGTGTCTTCAGCTGCTGCAGCCGATACTACCTCGGTCTTGGTCTCTTGTTCAGCTCCCTCGGCCTCGTTGGGAGTGGGCACCTCAACTCTCATCTTCCTTACACGGAACATCGCCAAGTGGATGTCACCTGCAAGATATCGATGCAGAATGCAAATTCCACAGTTCACAACCAAGAGCGAGCTACTTCTCGAGCACACATAATTGATGAATTGGACGGGAATCGTTGGATCCAAACCGAAGATGAGTAGACTGCCGGGGTCGATGGGCACCGGGAAGCCAGGGTTGACCCGGCGCTCGTTGATGTAGGTGCCATTGGTGCTGTCCAGGTCCGTCACCAGCAGGCTCCCGCCCTTCTTCTCCAGCCGAGCATGCGTGCCTGAAACTGCAGCCAGTGCAATTTACTATCATTAAACCGGCGAGCCTCGGCCGTCGCTTAGACCATCCACGTCGCCCCGAATTCCCTCGTCCGTTCGATCTTTGGTCCTGCGGTCCAGATCTATTGAATCAGATTTCGTCTGAAGCGGCTCCTTGTGCTTCCCCTTACCTTATCCGGCTTTTTCATCGTTTCTTCTCGGATTCTCCGGCTTCTCCTTAAACCGGCGAGCCTCGGCCGTCGCTTAGACCATCCACGTCGCCCCGAATTCCCTCGTCCGTTCGATCTTTGGTCCTACGGTCCAGATCTATTGAATCAGATTTCGTCTGAAGCGGCTCCTCGTGCTTCCCCTTACCTTATCCGGCTTTTTCATCGTTTCTTCTCGGATTCTCCGGCTTCTCCGCCGAATCCACAGAAGCAAATATATACTCCCCGTGCAGGACCGTGGAGTACTCAGCTTCCGCTTCTGTTTCCCGAGTCTTCTCGTCGCCCCCTCCTCTCTCTCCCCATCGCTCTCTCCTTCACGTCTCGCGTCGCGCCGTCTCCGACGCGACGACCGCCGCTGCCCTTCCTCCCTCTCTGCTTCCCTCCTCGCCTCGCGCCATCGCCGGCGGCGCGAGGCGCCACCACTACACAGCCGCTGCAGCTGGCTGGGCCTCACAGACCTGCAGGGACCCCAAATAAGATCCCACCGAAACCCTAGGTATCGCGGGCGCCGTGCTCAGGGTCCCCTCACCTGTGCCCTTCCTGAGTTCGTGCCGGAGGTGCGATCCTTTGCCAGCTCCACGCGCCGGGGGCCAGAACCTGCGTTTGCTCTGCCTTGGCCTTGGGTCCGTCTTGAAGGTTCTCCGATCCAAAGATCGCCCCGCCTCGTGTTCCTCATTGTCAACCCCTGGTAGTTTCCCCACGCTTCTCATCTTTCGTTTTGATTCAGGCTTTATTCCATGCTGTACTCCCACGTATCTGTCCCTGTGGTCATCAGCTAGATTATACCGGCGGCGGCTGACACTATGTGTTCTTCCTCTTTACTGTTCGTGCACGCATCGTGTTTGATTACTACTAATAGTTTAGCATTTGGATATGTTACCAACTCGATTTAGGTTCTATGTAGACCTGCTAAATTACTCAGTGCCCTCTCTATTATATACATAGATTGGATTGTTCTTAGATTTCTCATATTTTCTTTTTTTAGAGGATATATGTTCTTGCCGTGCTATGTAAATTTACTATCATTAAACCGGCGAGCCTCGGCCGTCGCTTAGACCATCCACGTCGCCCCGAATTCCCTCGTCCGTTCGATCACAGATGCGCTTGCTTTTATGGGGATCCACGTAAATATGAGATATTTGGCTCAGTAAGCTAATGCTTAAATGTGGATGAGTTCTTACTATGCCACCACTTTGCAAGGGTATGAATGCTTCTCAAAATAAATAACCAACATATGGCTGCAACTATGATTACCATGTCTTTTCTTTTTTTCCTTACCTCCTCTCTTCTATTTTACAATGGATTTAATTTAGTTGCACATGATATATCATATTGAGCCATGATTCCCATTGTTTTTCTAACTGTATTTTACTTGGCCTAATACTTCCGTTTGTTTTTATGGCCAGCATATGCGACTGGGAAAAGTATAATTGGAGTGCTTCAGTTCTCATTTAGCAGGCAAGGTAACATCCAATTCATATTCCTCCTCTATATCCCCATTATACTTTTCTCTTTATATTCACTCTTCAAGCACAAGATTAACTACTTGGTTCCGAGAGCATTGCTGTCATAGGTGTTGTTACATTATCTTAGTGACTTCCTACATGTTTGTGTTGTGCTGTTGTTTATGCATGATAGCAGGGATGGTTTGTAATTTTTTTTGGTTAGGTTCCTCACATGTTCTTAATGTCACTACTTACATTACAGGGCCAGAGAGCATGGGATTTGGAATTCTTCGTGCACTTCACTTTGAAATGAATGATCCAAAGTTACTTTATCAGATATTGTAGATAGTATATGGCACATTTGTTTGAGATAGCGTGAGCACATTAGGTTAGTTGTATTCCTAAAATTACAGATACTTCAAATTAATACAGTTCCATACGTTGTCGGTAAATATGCAGTCTTTGGAGAAGCTTGCCAAAGAAAAGAAGAAATAGTCATATGTGTTGCCATGAATTTTGTCAACGTGTGCCACATCACAGTGAAGACCAAGCTGTTTTATTCATCGGGATGCCCTCGGCCGCCTCGACTGCTTTCTTCGCTCCTCATGGTAACCGTGCAGGTTGGTGCAGTCTCATACTGCATCATTTTGTTTCTCCTGTTGCTTCTCTATACAAGCTCGCTTTTGCTTCGTCGTTGCCATGTACGAGACCTCTCATTCATGACATGTCCGCCATGGTGCTTCCGACCACCGGAAAATGATTTGGAAGAAGTGCCATCATATATGTTCAGATTGTCAAAACATGATATATGTGCATGGAAGCTTTGGAAACTTTTTTTGCACGAAAAAAAAAAGCAGATCCACTTAACTTACTTACATGTATGACTATCCTGTTCATAGCATGTTCTTCTTGGAAGCAATTTTTGGGATGTTGCATTAACATTTACTAACAATGAAAGCGTCCCTCGCTTTTGTCAAAACAACAATCTTGATGGTTTGGCAATAATGTATGCTTTGGCATAACTTATCAAACAAAACAAAAGGTCAATGCATGATCCAAAAAAATAATGTGGTGGTACCAAGCTATATGAGGGATCATGCGGCTTCTACATTGATGTGATCTTTGTGATTTGTTATGCTCATTATCACTTCAAACAACCCTTCTCTATCTCAATCGTCTGCTTCAATCTTGATCCATTCTCGCTCTCGTGTCTCGGGGTGGAGGATGCCCGTGTGGTCCCTCGAATGGCGGTGGCGCGGACCTACATCAGCCCCTTCATCACATCTCCTCCCCTGAACAGTGCCGATGGCCACCTATGCGCCACCTCCTTTCCCTCTTGCCCTCGCCCTTTCTAGCTCAGCAGCCTCGGTATGGTAACCATCCATGTGACCGACATTCGATTCCCTAATTTTACTCCCTTTTCTGGCTGGGATAAGTGATTGATTGACAACCTCACTTGCTCCTATTGTGTGCAGGTCCAAGAACCCATAGAGGACTGCCTCACTCGATCTTTTGGCTCATGAATGAATCAAAACTATTTGCACATGCAGGTTGAGTAGTTTGAGGTCTTGTTTTTTTTACCAAAGTATATATGCACATATAAACTTTTGTAACCAATATCGTTCTTTGCATTCGTCTTGAATTGTATAGGCTGGTGCAAAACAACACCGCTGCGGTGCGGTGCCACCAGCATGATCACGCTCTTCCATAAAATTCAGGTCTCACGCCTCCTCCATGTGTAACTCTCTATCCTTTTCCGTCGTCAAATGAGGCTGCAGGTTGTCCGGCCGGCCTATTTAAATGTAGCTTATGTTTAGCGTTTGCACATTATCGCAGTCAGTATAGTGAGGATCGATGCCGAGCTGGACCTTCTTGCCTCGCTTTTTTCTTTATCGCCTCAGATATGCATCCTGCTCTTGTGTTAATTTTCAAACAACATTTGTGGGACCTCTTGACCTGTCCAATTTTGTAATGCCCTCTTTCTTGCTTAATCTAACGAGTCATGCGACGTGCTATGCATATTGTTGCCATCTACTTCTGTCCTCTTTTTTGTTTATTCGCTGCGCTCTATTTTTAGAATAAAGACCAAGACGTACATCGCTTATTCCTCCTCAATCAGAATCCATTTCACAAATATATAGGTATTAGGATGTGTAAAATAGATATAATATGAACCACGCAGTTCAAGCTTGTATATGATACTTGCCTTACATCCCAGGTTGTAAAAGCAGAAATGGAGGAAGTACGCCTCCATTTGACACAGAAATTCAGATGCTCTCTGAAAATCACATGTCAATCAATAGACGTTCTCTGACGAGCCTGGTACAACAGATGCATCCATTCTGATGCTTTCAAACCCTCACTGTTGGTTATCAAGAGTTTGTGCAGACTTCACAACATCTAAATGGTCGTAAAGTTTTTTATCTCGCAAATTGATTGAAAAAGAATAGGCACAAAAAGTGATATTCAAATGGCTACAAAAGATCTTGCCTACTTCATGCATACATACTTAATTTACATTTTACCTGAAATTTATTATATATCTATCACTTGTAACTTCTAGAAATTATCGGGACTACATGGCCGCCTAACTTTTACGATCTAATCACCTGCTATATCCTATAAGGTTTATGCAAAGATGACAACTTCTAGATGCTCCCAGGCTTCATCTCAGCTAAAAAACTGTTCCAATCTAGTTCCTATTTCATCTCGCTTTGTGCATGCCTTCCGGTGGTCTAAATGGTGGTGGTTCAATAATGGTGTTGCTCACATTATTGGCTATCTTCGATATTTCTTGGCGAAATACAGATGTCGATCAAGTACCATCACACGCTTGAAGAGAGGTACATTATCTGTTTTCGTATTAAGGAAGGTGCATAATTAACAATTGCAACTACAAGTTCCTCAGTTATTTCAATTACCTGATGATCAGCACAGACAAATTTATGTTGCATCCATTCTTTGATATGTACGCACTGCATGCAAAGATTAAACATATTTTTTACCTGCGCCTGAACCAGGTGATTTGCCGGCGCGCGTGATGGCGCGCGTAATGTACTAGTATACATGATCAGATTGCTGCTTGTTTGGCCCTGGCTCCTGGCTCCTGGCTCCTGAACGGAACTTGGCAAGGCATTCCATGTATTTCCATTGCGTTGTTACATCCACGGTTGCTTATCATCGGCACCATGCTGAATTGACAGAGTACGAACAGAGTCAGTGACTGAACTCTGGCAACAACTGACCTGTGGCAACGGGGAGGACGATGTCAGCTTTGTCAGCAACTCGGCCAACGGTTACCGCATCCTGACACGAACACCGAAATTCTAACTGTCAAGGTGACTAGTGACATGTTTGCAGTTACAGTGCGTACAGTATTTATATGCTATTGCTGTCAAGCTCGGCTTGTTTAAATCCAGGGCTAAAGTTTAGGATGTTACGTGGGAGTGTTCGGATAGTAATAATAAAATAAATTATACATGTTCTCGAGACGAATTTATTAAGCCTAATTAAGCCGTCATTAGCATATGTGTTACTGTAGCACCACATTGTCAAAACATGGACTACTTAGGCTTAAAAAATTCGTCTCGCAAATTAGTCGCAATCTGTACAATTAGTTATTTTTTTAGCCTATATTTAATACTCCATGCATGTATCCAAAATCCGATGTAATAAGGACTAAAGTTTAGAAGGGGGAAACAAACAAGGGCAGCATCCTACATATTGGATGCCAAATAAAAATCTTTACTCTCAAGGTGACTTGTATCATGTTGCAGTTACAGTGCATATACATGCTATTTTTTACATAATAAAGGTATATATATATATATATATATATATGAGCTCTTTTACTGTGGTTGGGGTACTTCATGGTTCCTCTCGGTTACTAAGCAAATAATTAACGCTAATTAATTTTATGAGTGGAAGGTTAGTATGGTAATAGTGTCTTCTACCTCCCCTTTCCCAATCCCCGGTTCCCGTCATCTGTCACAGACAAGCCCGACGCCAGGACACGAAATAAGCCCTAGCCCGCGAGGCTGCGCACAAGCCCCAGCCGCCGCCGCTGCCGCCGGTGTCCTGCCCTTGCCCGCACTCGTCGCTGGGAGCCCCGGTCCTCCCCAGCGCCCACGACAACGATAAAATTGTTTTGGAAGATAACTGGTGGTCCTGCAAGATGCAAATGGTTCAATGTGCGTCTGTGTGCTACTAGTAGCACTGAATTTTCAGTCTAATTTCGCTCTATCTACATTGTATTACCATTCTGTATAGTGTATACTGGCAACCAACTCGTAGATGTGAAGCTGGTGAAAGATTATGCATAGGACACACACAGTACTGTCATGTCTGCAGACATGCCCATGTAGGTATTGCCAACTGCTCAAGAAAAAATCTCTAGGATTCCATGCCAATATGATTGTAAAAGATGGACGTGCCTCTGCAAAAATCAAATTCGCTTCACTTGGCCGTGGATCAGCATCAGGTCAAAGTAGCTCGTTCTAGGGAAAAAAAACATAGATAAGGGGCAAGAAAAGGAAAATTATAAAAGCAAACATCAACTAGAACTGAAGGTATACACAGCTAGAACTTTCAAAGAAGAAATATTTCTGTCGGCATGTGCCTGATCTGAAAATGTCACTCATGCCTAGTTTGCCAGCTACAGTAGTTTATGGAGTTGTAAACTGGCCCAGTACTTCTTCGGTTCCTTCACTGAATGAACGTTGGATCGCATTACATCACTGCAAGAGGCGACAAAGACAGAGGAACAATGGATCGATAGCTTCGGAGGGCTGCGAGGAGCGGGAGGGAGATGGCGGGGACCAGGGGTGGCCATGCCATGCGCCGATGCGGTCCTACGGAATGCTGCACGAGTGGCCGTGGAGGAGTCAAGTGCGGGGAGTGCGGACGCGGCGGCGACTGAGTAAAGTGCGGGCAGTGCGGACACCGGGGAGCCACGTTATACTTCTTCCTCCTGCCCCAACCTCCAGCCACCGCGCCATCCCGATCCGGCATCGCCAGCGACCGCGCGACTGAGCTCTCCCCTTCCCTACTCCATCTCGATCCGCCCCTGTCGTGCATGGGCAAGACACCGATCGCGGCCGCCATGGCCGGCATGCTCTGGCTCCGCGACCTGGCCCTTCCTCCCTCTACGTCCTCCCTATAACCATCACATCAGCTCCGCCACAGCATGTCACTGCCTCCTAGCCCTTTCCCAAAACCCCTTCCTCTCTCCAGCGCCTCCAATGGCCGCCGCCGCCACCATTGCCAACCCCAAACCGAGCTCCTGATCTATCCACTCCAGCCGCCTCCCCCGTCACCGAGAGTTGGAGAGAAGGAAGAACAGACACCGAGTGACCAGGGTGTGGTCGGAATAGAAGAAATACATTTCAGAACCATAGTGCTTCAATCATCCACGTACTACTCCAAACAATATGCTTCCATTATACATTTACTATACTACCCTTAATTATATAAAAAAAATTCAAAATTAGAATTATCCCAATTATTTTTAGGCACTGATCTCACCAATTTCAGTACACACTTGGTGCGAATGAGCCCACCATTTAATACGCGCTTGGTGCCCTCCCAGTACCTCTTAAATTGGTTCCTCTTGGTTCCTATGCCTTTTTAGCCGTTGGATCGGACGTCGTGAGCCGTCCATTTCTTCACAACCATTGTAAAAGTTCTCATATATATATATATATATATATATATATATATATATATATATATATATATATATATATATATATGAGAATTTTTACAATGGTTGTGAAGAAATGGACGGCTCACGACCCCAACCACAGTAAAAGAGCTCATATATATATATATATATATATATATATATAGTTATATATGCTTTGGCTGCCAAGCTGCTCATAATGTTAATTGTACACACACACTGCAGCAGTTTGAGGATATAGCTACTATGCTGAATAAAAGCACAATGCATGATATATATATCGACATATGGAGAGAATGAGAGTGCTCACTGAGACTATCTCGATCGCACCAGGCCGTGCAACTTTGCAGCCGATGTGACGCCAATCACCATCACCTGAAAATCGGTAACACGAGAACATAATGCTGCTGAGCTCCGCTTTGCAACGAGATTTTAGCACACCATAGACACACCGCAGTGGGCATACGAATTATTGAAAGCAAAACGTGGTGCTACTAACCATGCTAGCTGTTAAAGAATAATGAGTTAATAACATGATAAAAGTGAGTAGTACGTAAATGATATGAGGAGAATAATAGAGTGAGTAAATGGCACGAGCAGTGTTGGCTCTGTACTGCATTCAGAGTTTCAGACATTCAGCAAAATTTAAACCTGACCTGCAGGGTCAAGTATCCATTTCTCTGTCGAGACGGCGGTTGATGAGCCGCCAGTGGCACTAGAAGAACACCTCCACCCCGCACTGCTTCTGCTTCTGCTTCTGCTTCTGCTACTCCCCTTGCTGCCTAGCCTCGGAGCAGCGAGGCAGCATGCTGCTGCCTCGCAGTGGAGGTTGTGAAGGAGTAGCAGCTCTTGCAGGGAGGCCGAAGCGACGAGGGGGAAGGCAAGGTTGTTGTTGGCGATGATCTCCTGGGGCCGGAGACCAGTAGCAGGGAGGAGGTGGTGGCAGCCACTGCTGCTTCCATCAGGTCAGGGCAGGCAGGGTGGCCAAGGGAATGTACAGGAGCCGGAGAAGAACGGCTGCGGTGGCCTTGGTTTTGTTCCTGGCCAAAATGTATCGTTAGTTTGGTTGTTTGGCGCGACGTGGGCGCAATCCGATCCTGCTGGGCCCAACGTGAGCATCAACTTTTCAACTATGACCTGGTCATTATCCGGCCGTTGGATCCGTGTCGCGTCAAGAAAAACGTAACGTCTTTTTTTTTCTGACCCGAGCGTATTACCAACCGGTACTACATGCTTCTTGGAAACGTGACCGTTAGGTCTGGTACTTATGCTCACATTAGTACTGGGCCTTGTTCTGGCCGGTACCAATGCTCAAGATGGAAAGCCGGCCAGTAGCAGTGTCGGGTCAATTAATCGAATTATTCAGGTGGGGTAGCCCCACATTGTTGTTTAAAAAAATCTATTATAATTCAATAAGCTATATTCTCCTAGGTTACTGTGACTCTATCGAAGAAAAAAAGTTATTCTAGGTTTATCCTAAGTCAATTTTTTAAAATTTGAACAAGTTTGTACAAAAAAGTACGAGCATTTTTATGCCAAATAAGTATTATCATTTATCATGAAATATATTTTTTATAATATACCTTTTTTGTTACTTTTCTCTTTTTTTTTTTAAATTTGACTTAAAACAAAACTAAAATAACTTGTTTTTTATGTACGGAGGGAATATAAATGATAAGAAAGATTATATAATTTGGGATGAAAAACAAAACAAGATATAATAAGTTGGTGACATCCTTTATGTGCTGGATTCTTAGTTACAAATTATTAGTAATAGATAAAAAAAAATTATTACCATATGGTGGCCGAAGACTACGGCGACGCACATGGTGGGCCGACATATGTTTTGCTTTCATATTCTGAAATATATGCCTCGTTCGTTTGGGCTTGTTTCACTTATAAATCATGACTGAAAGTACTATTAGTTAGTTTGGTGTAAGAGAAAAATACTATTCGTTAGCTGATAAACTATGGTTTATAAGCCAAATACGACGAAGCGAACGTGCCGATAGCTCCCTGTAGTCCGGATGCAGCTAATCGCGCAAAATAGATGTCCCGCCCACCTATCTTGAAGCACGAATATTAATTTGCCTGTGACTCTTGTCGCCCGCGAACCTCCATGAGCAAAGACTTGGGTTTGGACCGTTTGGTGCCAGTCATCGAGGAAAGTAGCGCAAGGTTTAAAAAATGTGCTTGTGCAACTGGAGTACTGGACGTAAAATTGCTGGTATTATTTAATATTTATTTATGACATGTGGACATCAACATGGTAGATAGCGTTGCAAGCGGATACTAATAGCCCCTCAAAAAAAAAAGTGGATACTAACGTTGTGTTTGGCATGGCTCCGTGGGGCTCCAGCTTTGGCATGGCTCCGTGGGGCTCCGGCTCCTCCTCCAGCTACACCTTTGGACACCAATAAACCCTGTAGCATCAAAAGAGCTCCAGCTCCTACAAACCAAAATTGACCTACATAGTCAAGGAGCCAGCGGAGTAGGATGGAGTGGCTCCTCCGGCTCTGCTACAGTAGTTGCACAGGAGCACTACAGTCGAGGAGCCAGAGCACTAGGGAGCTGCACCAAACGATGCCTAATAGTGTTTTATGTGCTGATTAATTACGATGATATGCCGCTGTAACTCATTTTTTCTCCTAAAGATATTGAGCCCGATCGGCAACCGGTCTTTGCAGCCGCCACTGTGCTTACAAGCAGCCGAACAGAACAGGGCCAATAGGTGAAATGTCATTCTATTTCATTTTACGATGTTTTTAGATCGATCCAGTGATTCAAAGTATGTATAACTTGCATCCCTATTAATAAGTATATCATCATGTAATGTACGGGAACTGGCTCTAAAATCTGCTTACAGTCTAGCTCCTCATGTGAAACGCGCTCGTATACGTGTAGCACCTCTCTTATCCTTTCGTTGTCGCTTCGTGTAAAAGAGTTAACCTGGAGGTGCTATATTTAGAGCAAAAGGATTATAAGTTGATCCTCATCCACTTAAACTTCCAATGTAAGACTAAATCCACCACTGGTATATATGGAAAGCAAGAAATGATTGGAGGTTCAAGGAAAAAATGGAACACTAAAAAAGTGCTCTATGAAACTAAGGCTGACATTTGTTCAGCCTCTCTTCTCTCCTGAACAGGTGAATCAACCACAGGCGGGCGAGGATAGGGCAACAACAGTTGTCCCTGTTGATAATTTAGAGATGGAATCACCAACCAAAGCTCCAACAACTGATTCAAGCAGCACTGGTGAACCTGTACAATCGTGTATCATCCCTGACTGTTATGTGGACGCATCCATTCCTCCGGAGTCACAGATTGCAGCGCCTACCCCGGCTGGACTGGGCATCTATTTGTCTAATTTACAGGTTCTAGCACCACGTTCGTTTGGTTTATAAGCCATACTTTTTAATCCAACGAACAATATTTTTCTCTCACAATAAATCAGCTAACAGTACTTTCAGCCATAACTTATCAATCAAGTGAATAGGGCAGTCATCAATCTTCGATGATCAAAGCGCAGGTGATGGATGTTGACAGCCCTCTCCAGGCTGAAACTCTAGCTGTTCAGCTAGCAACTCATGTGTTGAAAGCTCTGCAGCAACAACCATGGGCGGATGTATGTTCATGGCAAGGGGTGCAGCCGCACCTACGAAAAATTAAAAAACAGTGATTATATTCAATTTTCCACCATATATGCACCTATATCGTAAAAATCTATGTACCCACAAGGCTAGCGCACCCTCCATAAATTTTCTCTAGCTCCGCCACTGCCAACAACAGTACAAGCTTTCCTCTGGCTATTGCCCTGTTCACTTGACTGATAAGTCATGACTGAAAGTACTGTTGACTGATTTGGTGTGAGAGAAAAATACTGTTCGTTGACTGAAAAAATATGACTTATAAGCCAAGCGAACAGGGCGCGCCTACAACAACGTGGTTGCGAGAACAACTACTTTTGCGCCCTGTGTGTAAGGAATCTGAAGACTGTCCAGCATCTCAATAGGAGTATTTGATGAGATTAAAAACACAGCCCATTGCTGGTCCTTAGCTCGAAGGTTGGCACCTGAGCCACCAACGGTTGTACATTTACCGTCTGTTTGGTTGAGGGGATCAACTGGGATGATCCTGGGATGAGGGTTGTTTGGATGAGAGGCAGCCAGGGGCGAGTCCGTCCCTGCGAGGAATATGCCTGCAGATTCGAAACGCCCCCGTCCCACGAAATCGAGGGGAGAGGGTCAGCCCAAATGGGATGAGCGGGCTGGTGGCGAGGAAGAAGGAGAGAAGGTGCGCTCGCTCACGGACGGCGTGCGGGAGAGGATGGGAGGAAGAAGGACGACGCTCGGAGGAGCTTGAAGACGGAGGAACCCGACTGGGGCGAGCGCCCCCGCCTCGAAGGTCGCCGCGCGGACGAGCACGCCGCCTCTCAGGCCGCCGCACGACGCAGGGGAGAAGGGAGAGGAGAGAGGATGGCCGACGCGGGTTCCACCACCAGCCCCGCGCGAGCTATGCCCGGCCTCGTCGCGCACCGGGGCAACTCCGGCGGGCGACTCGTGGCTACAGGGCTGGCGGACAGGGGCGAGCAAAGTCGAGCGGGCCGACTCCGGTGAACGGAGGCCCGGCCAGCCAATGCGGGGTCCCGGGTGGAGGGCGGAGGAGGCACATGGAGATCACTGGTGGAGGCCCGGGCAGCAAGCGCGGGGTCGCGACTCGCGGTCCGAGACGGAAGAACGAAGAAAAAAGGATAAGGAAGAAGAAAAAAGAAAAAAAAAAGAAAAGGGAAAAATCTGATGGATGTGGGCCCTATATGTCAGTGGCTCATCCTACTTTTAATGTCTATGAACCAAACAAAAAATGGGTTGGTCTCATCCTTTCTCAACCAAACAGAAAATGAACTCGTCCCATCCCACAAATCAGAGACAGAACCATCTCACCCCACCTTGTCTTCCAACCAAACGCTACCTTAGGTAGTGAGTAATCTTTTTCTTGTTTCCTTGGCCCTATGCAGCCAAGGCTGTGTTAGGGAGCGCAACTCGCGCATGTAAACTGTTGCTCTTGCGCTCTTGCTGCCTTCTTATTATTAATCAAAGCCGGAATGTTCCGGATCTTTCAAGAAAAAACAGTACAAGCTCTTCTCAGATTGTCAACTACCTGTGGACTCTATGAAGAAAAGAGATCCTTCACAACAACCCGCACACTGGAAGCTCTGACCCTGAATTGCTCAAATTATCTCCAACTCTGAAGCTCAAGATGCTGAGTTTTGCAAGATACCACGACACGCTAATAGAGTAGCTCATAGACTAGCGAAGCATGCCCGACAATCTGCACCACAAACTTGTAAGTTTGAATGCTTAAACTGGGTTTCGCAGTAGAATTGTGCTACCATGCGTGCACTCCAGAACATTGACTGGGGAACATTCTGCCCCATTTCTGTAATATGCTGCTAAATTAATATATGGAAGTCCTTTATAGAAAAAAACCACAACAAGCCACGCGGGCCACCTATAACCACAATGCCACATGTTCCAAACAGCACCATGACCGGCTTCTACCGAGCTGGGCTATTAGACTATCTCCAACGAATGATCAATATAGACACTTAAATCCAAAATGATAGTAAAAGATCTAAAATCAATTTTTAATGGAGTACCTATACGGGAAATCCATTTTGGGTTGCCTGAGAGTCACAACCTAAATATGAGGATCATCTCTCCTGTAAACCCATTTGCAGAAAGGATTTTCTTTTGGATCATGTTGTTGGAGAAGATGCCGAATGGGAGTATTGAACCATTTCCTGTAGCACTACCCAAAGATCGAATGAGTCTTGTATTTTAGGTGTTGTTGTTGAAGATAGTCTTCCGTGTTTTCACAAGTGTGCCAGCAACCAAAATCTTCCCTTTACCGCCTCTGCTGCCCATAACTGATAAATGTTACTATTCTCATTTCAAAGTGTGATTTTATCGGTTTCTAGATCTCAAAGATACATAGTGGAATCTTAGAAACCAAACATGCATGTCAACCGACCTCCAAAGTACAAGCATGCTTACTAGCTAATCTATAAGTGTTCGGGCCTGATTGATTGGCTACTAAAATTTACTATGTTAAAGATTTGGTAAGTCATAATTTTGATTAGTATTTGATTGACTACCAAAATTTATCAACTTCTTACATTTAGCTTGTCAAATCTTTAACAAATTTTTTGACCAATTTTTAGCTTACAGTATGAGAAATTTTGGAACAACTCATCAGCTCGTCATATTGGATTTCACTGCAACACGCTCACGATCTGGTACTCCAATACTCCCCACGTTTGCAACACCCTTTGTTGGATATTTGTTTCTCTAGCCGTCACGTGGGTCCTACGGATGACAAAAGAAATTGCTTTCCATTCTGTTTTTATTCCAACTTCGAAGCGAAGCAACAACCTTAGCATCGTCCTCCGTCTCCCGTCTCCCTCGCATCCCCCGCGCTGGTGTAGTGCCGTAGTGGTGTGTGGTGGCCGCCACCGACGCCCACGGCGAGGGCTCGCCAGGTGCTTTGCTCGTCCTCGCTTTCACATCCTAGCTCGCCAGAACCCCAGATCCCATCCGGTAGTTGCGATTTTTTCAGCCCGAAATCATTTATTAGTTTTTTTAGTTCTACTTTCTATTTGTTCGAGTATGACGTGGAAATCGATCTATTCTTCAATCCCAACGCTTCCCCATATACTAAGATCGTTAGAACAACTGATTTCGTGCTTTTTTTGGGGTTCAAAATCAAGTTTTTTTTTGCATCTAAACTTCAAATTACTAAGATTCATTATTTCGAGTTTTAAGGTCTAGTCCGTATAGGTTTAGTCAACGAAAAAGTTTAATGTGGTTGTACACTCCATCCGTTCACTGCAAGTCATCTGTTCTCCTATTATGTTCTTTTACAACTGATTTTCCGTCTGGTACTCTGGTGTGGACACCCTGCAAAGGTTTCAGATAATTTTGGAAGGGAAAAAGTCTACTTAACCCCACCCACCTTTCGTACATGGTCTACTTCACCCCCAACTATGAAACCGTCTGTTTTACCCAGAACTTTCTAAAACCGTCTATTTTAACTCCGGGGGCGGTTTTGACAACGGGTTGCTACAGTAACAAAGGGTTGCTACAGTAACGGTGGTTTTGAATTTTCTTTTTTTTTTTCGGTGAATTTTTGAAAAAAATCATAGAAAAAACATAAAATGAAAAATCTAATTTTATTGAACTCCACATGAGTAGATCTACACAGTGAATATATAATACGGTATGCTTTAGTATAATTTTTTTTTGTAGCTTTAGATTAATTGGAAAATCCAATTTTTTCTATAATTAATTAGAATTTATCTATAACTAAGTTATACATAGTCCAATGAGTACGAAATTTTTATTATAGTTCAAGCATACAATAATTAGCGCACCATAAAAATTTCACCATAATTGGACCATAGAAGCTGCAGTTATGAATTATTCTAATTAATTACAGACAAAATTAGATTTTCCAATTAATCTAAGGCTACAGTAAAAATTTTGTACTAAAGCAAACCGTATTATATATTCACTATGTAGATCTACTCACGTGGAGTCCAACAAAATTAGATTTTTTATTTTATGATTTTTCTATGAGTTACTGTGATTTTTCAAAGATTCACTGGGGAAAATTCAAAACCACAATTACTGTAGCAACCAATTGTTACTGTGGCAAACCCGCTATTATTGTAGCAAACCGCTGTCAAAAACCGCCCGAGAGGGTAAAATAGACGGCTTTGGAAAGTTCAGGAGATAAAACAGACGGTATCATAGTTTGGGGGTGAAGTAGACCATGTATGAAAGGAGGGGGGTTAAGTATACTTTTTCCATTTTGGAAGGCACTAGCATAGCTCACTCAACCTATTTTGAGTGGCGCGAAACACTGGCTTTTTGACCGTCAATGGATCAATCTTCTTCCTGCATGTCTTCTTTTACAAAGTCCTTCCTCCGCTCGATTCGCTGCTCACCAGCTAGTTCATCAACCATGTGACGCCCCAGCCCCACCCTCCTTGTATCATCTCCCATTGGGAAACCTATGGATCCATGTGGCCTTCACCTTGTCCCTATCCACCACTTCTCTACCACATCGACCAACAGCGGCTTCCTGCACACCAACTATCACCACTGCCGATTTGTCTGCCACCTCTAGCTTACCTTCTTCCTGCAACTGGTGAACAGATGGAAAGTGAAAACCATCGAGTGGCAAGAGAAGAATAAAATAATTTTTTTTGACAAAAAGGAATAGTCTCCAGCCTCTGCGAGCCGCACACAGCCAAGTTTTTACAGCATTCTCAGCTTATAAGCTGATCACAAAATATAAGCGAAAGGAAGAAATTAAAAGCAAAGTCTATTATTGCTCATCCATCCATTTTTAGCAAAAATATCTAAGGCCACGACCTCACGCTGCAACAGGGACCAAAATCGTAGCCAATACGCTCCCCTGTAGACAGACTGCATAAAAGAAGTAAATCTTTTTTTTCTTAAATACCAAATTCCAAATCATTACATGCACACCAAATTGCCCACATAAGAGCCATAGGAAATCCATTTTGGAAAAGTCTTCTTTGTACATCTGTCTTTAGCTCCAAATCTTCTCAACGACTCCGCTCTGGATACTTACATAATATTGTTTCCTCATTGATTGTAACCTCTGTTTCTTCTATCAGTAATTTGTTCATGTGTTTTTGTTGTAAAAGGGGTGCCAGTAGACAAGAAAAGGACAAATTTTAAGTAACATGTTAAGGTTAATTTTGCAGACTGGGGACATGTAATGCACTTGGGAGTTACCACAAAAGGAACTCTCACTCTACAACGGAAGCAGTAGAATTAAGAACACATCATGCCGGATAAAAGATGTTCCTCGTAAGTTACAATTTGAATTGTTACAAAAGGCAACCAATTATTTTTCTGAGGAACGGAAACTTGGCTGTGGCACATTTGGACAAGTATACAAGGTATCACAGAATCAAATTATATACCTAGCTGGTATATCTTCTTACTGTTGCTCTGAAAATTTAAACTCCATAAGCTGTTGTATAGGGAGTGCTTGAAGACGGAGAAGAAATTGCTGTGAAGAGTTTCCAATTCATGCCACAGATTGACAGTCAGCATTTCGAAAATGAATTTGGACACCTAAAGAGGCTGAGGCACGAAAATATTTTGCGATTACTGGGCTTTTGCGATGAATCAGAGCCAATAATTGCACAGTACAGTGGAAGACAAGTCCATTGTGAAGCGATACACAGGGCATTCTGCCTCGAGTATATGCCAAATGGAAGTCTTACCAAGCTTCTTTCTGGTACGTTTTCTCTCGTGTCTGAGGAATATTTTCTTTGGCATGTCAACAAAAGATATTCTTTACAATTCACATTTTGAAAGTACTATGTTTGCTCTTGCTGAAGAATATACTGGGATGAATTGGTCCATACGGTACAGAATAATTAAGGGAATATGCGAGGGTTTAAAATACCTTCACGAGGGATTGGAAGTTCCTATTTTGCATTTGGATCTAAAACCAGATAATATACTTCTAGATCAGGGTATGGTACCTAAAATTGCAGATTTTGGTTTATCAAGACTTTTCGGTGAAGAAAACACTATAAGAACAATATCTCCACTAGGGACACTGTAAGATCAATGTCTCGAGTAAATATAATTTTTTAAGAAACCAAATTGTTTTTTTTCTAACCGTTGCTTTATGTGTATAACTAATGTTTTCTTGCAGCAGATACTGGCCACCAGAATTCATAGACGGGAGAATAATCTCAAAAAAATATGACATATTCAGTTTGGGTGTTATAATTATGAAGATAATTGTTGGATTTGAGGGCTACTCGAGCATTGCCGATACAGACGCCCGAGGATATTTTGATTATGTAAGAATAATTAAATTACTTACTATGTTAACTTAAAAGAGTTGTATATGCTATTGAAGTACAAGTGAATTGTCCATCTTTTTCTATCAATTTAAATTCTTTTGGGTTGAATAAGTCAGTGCATGCGACTCAATATGTTATTAAAGCCAGATGTCTCAAGTTCGAACCATAGCGGAAGCAAATAAATGAAATAATTATAGTCGACTCCAATTTCCACGTTTGAGACCTAAGGTAGGCTGCACATGAGGGGAGTGTTGAAGTATAAGCGAATTGCCCATATTTCCCTATCAGCTTAATCTTTTGAATTGAACTTGTTAGTGTATGCAACTCAATATATGCCCTTTTCAACAAGACGTCATCTTGAAACATTTCCTTTGAGTTCATTAAATGTACGATCACAATGTGTTCCTCCATCCAAAACTAAATGTCTCTTATGCTACTACTTTAAGATGCTTGACTATTTCAGTCCTTGCTGTTGGCCAAAACACTTCTCAAGTTGTGCGACATTGAATTTGTGCTAATTTAGTTGTGTTACAATTTAGCATTGTGATGGGCTATATCTTCTGGTAGCATATATCCGAAATTTTTTAACAGTAACTGAGTAAACTTGGTTATACTCACTGTTCCCATTTTGTAGGTATACAACAACTTGAGGCCAAACTATGCATTTGTCGAACCAGATTACGAAAGAGTAAGGTGTTGTATTGAGATAGCTATAAACTGCATGGACAAGGACCGACGTAAAAGGCCTAGAATTAGTGATGTCGTCAGTAAATTAGATGAAATAGATTTTTTTTCAAGCCTGCAACAGCATCCTGCTGCGAAGGAAGCTGAAGGGTCGACGGTCGCCATCCACAGCCAAGACGAGTGGAACAACCAGGTTGACGCCGACAAGCTGGTAGTGATAGACTTCCCTGCGACCTGGTGCTCAATGTCCCGTGGGATGGCTCCGGTTTTTGCTGATACTGCCAAGAAGTTCACAAATGAAACTATTTTATCAGAATCAGATCAATTTTATTCCGCGTCGCAAGCAATTAGAAAGATACTGGAGATCAGTTATGGTGATCTACCTCTTCCTGTGAAGTCTTCCTTCCTGTACTTGACTGCTTTTTCAGGAAATTATATGATCAAGAAAGATCGTCTGATACGAAGATGGGTAGCTGAATGGCTAATCCCTGAAAGGCAAGGAAAGAGCTCGTTGGAAACAGGGGAGAGATACTTTGTTGAGCTTATCAATAGGAGGCTGATCCAACCAGCCTTTGACGACAACGATGATCAGCCAACTGGCTGCGCTGTTCATGGTGACGTAGCCAATTTCTTGGCATCCTTGTCAAATGAAGAAAACTTCATTACACCGGGTGCAGAGTTGAATTCTAGACTATTTCGGCAAGTTAACCTTGACATCAACTATGGTTATGAACACGAAGGTGATACCTTGTTCTCGGACACGTGTTGTCTTCTAGAGCAGAAGAGTTGGGTGGTTTCATGCAGTGATGAAAACTCAAGCAGTGGCATCAACAAAGCAATTTCTCTGCACCTATATAGGGTGCAATCCATTGCATTTTGGGCCTTCAAACACGTGCGGGTGCTGGATCTTGAAGATACCAAGGGCTTGGAAAACAAACAATTGGAAAGCCTTGGACGTCTGTCTCTGCTGAGGTACCTGGGACTGAGCAGGACCGATGTCACCAGGTTGCCACCAGAAATCATGGCACTTAAACAATTAACTACCTTAAATCTAAGGCAAACCAAAGTGAGAAGGCTACCGAGATTTGGAGACATGAAGCTGGTGTCTCTGCTTGCCGATGAATTGATAATACTGGGAGGAATGGGGGGAATGCAAGAATTGGAGGAATTATCGAAAGTCCTTCTAGGTCCGAATGGCTTGCTTGCTGGCGATGTGGCAAGGCTTGTTACTAAGTTGGGGCGGCTGAGGATGCTTGGGGTAAGATTTAGCCATTTGCTTGGTCAGAATGAAACTGATCGGCAGGGAGTGAAGCATTTCCTCGAGGAGGTGGGGAAATCAAACCTGCAGTCCCTTTTTCTTGACAACTACCACCATCAGCTGCTTGACTTACTGGCTGCTTCAAGCTGGGCCAACAATAGGCCACATCACCTGCGAAAATTTGAGCTGAGGATGCACGAATGCCTCCCACTGGTCCCACCAGTTATTGCCTCGCTGAGAGCCCTCACGCACTTGCATATCCATGTTGAAGCAGTCGAAGCAGAAGCTGTCCGCGCCCTTGGGTACTTGCCTAACTTAGTCCTCCTAAACCTACGTCTAAGTACGAGCACAGGGCTGGCCGTGGGTAGCAAGGATGGGTTTCATTGCCTCAAGGTGTTTTCGTATCACGGTGCATTAGGGCTGCAGTTTGGAGAAGGAGCCATGCCACAGCTCAGGAGGCTTTGCCTAGACCTTGATGCCAGGGAAGAAATACCCGAATTTGAATCTTTGGAATTTGGCATCCAGCATCTCACTTGTCTAGTGCAGGTCCGTGCAACTATTCACTGCAAGGATACTTTGGCAGCTTCAGAGGTGGAGGCAGCAGAGGCCCACATCAGAGGCCAAGTATCTCTGAACCCCAACAATCGGGTATTGGAATTGAACACAAGAGTGCAGCGCTCTGCTGCGAAGGCAGCCGAGGCGCCGGTGATCGCCATCCAGAGCCTGGATGAGTGGAGCAGTCAGGTCTGCCCCGACAAGCTGGTGGTGGTTTTCTTCACTGCGAGCTGGTGCAGACTGTCCCACAGGATGGATCCAGTTTTTGCTGATCTCGCCAAGAAGAACCCAAATGTGGTTTTCCTCAAGGTTGATGTTGATGTTGGTGAAATGAGCATTATTGCTGAGCAGTCGAGTGTTAAAGGCGTGCCGACATTCCTCTTCATGAGGGAGGGCACAGTTAAGGACAGGGTTGTTGGCGCAGACAAGGAAGAGCTGGAGGAGAAGCTTTTGGAGCAGTTGTCCCTGATGCCTTGGCTGCGCCTCTATGTTTGATGGCACCTCATATGCAGTGTTAATTCCATCTTCTGCTATTAGGTTCCTGCAAACTAATGGCATAATGCCTTTTTTTTTGGCAAAACGCATGTATTTGTTTATTAAAAAATGGTTGAAGCACACCGTTTCTAAGGTTAATGTTAATGGAAAGTTCAGTTTTTCTTGGTTCCAAGGGCACTACATCATACAATGCTTTAAGTTGATGAATGAAACAATCATTTTTAATACAGTGTCATTTTGTTGATTAATAGACCGGCCATAGCACTTAATTGCGGCACACGAGACTGGTAGTAGTTGGACGAAATGAAACCCCTCAGTTGAACAGGGTCGATGAGGGTAACCGGGACATAGGTACCCATCAGCAAGTGTGCATGTGTATTGCACAAAACTTAATGTCTTGTAATCGGACTCCATGCCATCGTTGGATATGGGTTGTTCTAGAAAGTGGGTTGGAAGGAGTGCTTCACTCTTTAATATTAGACAGAGAAGAGATTTATGTGAAATAAAAATTTTAGCAAACGAACCAAAACATTGATTCCTAAGACCACAATAAGGAAAGTTACCCTAAGCTAGTGATAGAAAAGGGAAAAATATTCGCTAGTGGATCTGAAAAATATAAAATAAAATATAAATATAATCATCAGTGACAAGTTATGATAATCAAAACAGTTGGAAGCAAAAATTAAAATTAAAACAGAAAAAAGAAAAAAATCATGGCAAAAGGAAAAAAAATGAAACGAAGAAAGAATGAGCCAGCTTCATGGGCCGCTTGCTGCCTTTCTCTAATGAACGAGCGTAGTTATGCGCGTGCACCTGCAGAAAAGGAAACAATTGAAATCGGCCCAGTACTAGCGCGCAAACAGCCCGGAAGAACTGCTCTCCTGCTTTCGTTCAGTTCACACCTGTTTTGCCGGTTTTTTTTTTCTCCTCCCGTTCACCTCGCGGGCGCGCGCGAGCGCGGGACAACTACGGCGACCGCCGCCGTCATACCTCCAGCTGCCCTTTGCCGGTACGACAACCCACCACATCAGGTATGCCCGGCCCTTCTCTTCCGTTGCTGCTGTGCAAAATTGAGGACCCGAACGCCTAACTTGAGCTATTTGGCTATGTATTCGGATCTGATCTAACCAGTGTATACATGTATTACGGCTACTAACTTCGATTTTCCCCCCGGCTAGTTTATGGACTCTATTGGATCAGATGGTGGCGGCATGGGTGGTGCTGACGGTGATGCTGGCCGCAGCTCAGGTGGCGTCGGCCACCTCGGTGGTGGCGCCAGCGTTCCTCTGGGCTCCCAAGAACTACGGGTGGATTTGTTGCGCTTATCTTTTGCGCCACTAGCTTGATCTAGAGATATTGAGCTAGATAAAATGCTATTGAAGAGTTTCAACTGCTCTGCTTGTAAGTATAAACTATCATGAATCGGTATAACTAGCTCCTTTGTTAAAGTCGCTGTTTTCTCCATCTGGCATAATTAGCTCAATTGTTAAAGTCGCTGTTTTCTCCATCTGGCATCTGTGCTAGAGACCACCTTATTGGGAGGAAGCAACTGTTTAGCAGAGATTGATTTGCACAAGACCACATTGCATCTGATTTTTACATTTAGTTTTGGAAAATTATGTCCATCCTACACAATCATTTAAAAATCAATATTGAGACTTTTTTTTTTGAAGTAAAAGGCAAGAGCGCCGCCGCTCAATTAAGTAAGGAAGAGAGGTTTATGTACACATGACACCCACTGTGCCAAACAAACTGGTCCTAGGACCAAAGAGTTACACGCCTGTCATTGCTAGTTCACCTCCCAGCCATGGCCAATGCCCTATGTCTCTGCACTATGTCCTCTTTGGTCATGGAGGGCCACCTGTTGCGCCGTCTTGTGTACATTTTCGAAGATCCTCCTATTCCTCTCCTTCCACAAGTTCCATGCAATGTAAATAACAACCCCATTGAAGCGCATGCGTTCAACATTGAGACTTTATGCCTAGGGAAAACAGATCTGATGTCCTTTCTCAAAAGTTATTATATAACTGGTCAAGATCTCAATAAACATCATGGCATGGATTTTATCCATGTAAGTTATTATATAATTTTTCCGTTCTTCTATGCTATATCTGCTTCGTATATTGACAGCATTTACATTCAAGGATTCAAGGACTTAGTGACGCCACGGATGAGAAACAACCCAAGTGGACAGAGCGATCTAATTGTCTTCTGCAGTGGTGGTTTCAAGGATTTACACCCTGCAAAAACAGAAGGTTAGGATAGGACTTCTTACATTGTTCTTCCACTTTCAACTATACAGCTGAAAATTAATTTCGTACTAATGTCACTGCAGGAGAGTTGCTTTCTGACCTGATTGCCATGCTGAAGAAGTCTGGAGCTAAATATACCATTCTTTATGCCTCTCAACCATCTGGTTTACTGGAAAGCCCTTCCAACCTGCCATTAGGCAGGTATCTTGCAGAGGAACAATATGGAGAGTGCCTAGTCAAATCAACTCTTCTGGAGGGAACTTTTGTTGTAAGTTGTTACCTGTACTCTGTTTCATTCGTGGTTAGCTCTATTATGAAATGTAGGCTCATGTGTGAGACGATACTTCACAAATCAATATACCTTGTATCCTTGTAATATTGTCTCACACCTTTTTTTTTTGTGAGGAATATTGTCTCACACCTGTCTACTATGTTCAGGGAATAGTGCTTCTTATCATCTTGATATCAGGACTCATGTGTATGATGGGAATTGATACTCCATCAAAGTTTGAAGCTCCACAGGAATCTTGATTCATTTCAATGCAGATCAGACTGATAAGCTTGATGAGGCAAAAGGATTATGGATGCCAATATTTGTTGGTCTGTGCTGTGAAGATGTTTTCTGTGAATAAAGCTTGTGCACGCATTTGCATAAAGCTTGTGTTGTAACAGATCAAGCATGGCTGTTTTCTGTGAATAACCTGCAATTCAGGTAACAAATAAGATGGCACTGTGCATCAACAAAATGAAATCTTGTTACTGTACTTAAACATCTGTCACGTGCTCACGCCTATTTACATCTTGTGTCCCAATTGAGACTGTAAATTGTTGCTGTCTCTGTTGCCAAGATGTACAGTCTGTGACAGACTGCAATACATTGATCCTCTGGATGTGAAACACATTGGCTAATTGATGAGATCCTTGGTCCTTACGGCTGATTAACATGTTTCAGGATCGTGTGTTAGTCTAATGAAGCAACATGATTTGTTCTCAATTCTAATGGGGTTTCAATTTAAGCCTAAATTGAGAGGCCTCTCAGTGTACATTTCAGGTTTATTTGTTGGCCAAAATCGATCCTCAATTCCTCTTTACCAGTGCTACAATTTGCATTATTATCTATGTAAAACACGTATCTAGAATATACTCACGTAGAACATGCAAATGGAAGATCTAGCGGAAGGGCTAGGGTATCTTTATGTCCATTAAAACTAAGGGGACGATAGGTGAGGAGAATGTGAAAGCAAAAGGGCTAGTTTGGATGGTGGTGGTGGTGGGTAATAAACCTAGTGGAAAGGGAAGCCCTGGAGGGATTTTAGAGGCATTTTATTTCCTTGGGTAGAAATTCTCGTCCCCCAACCACTGTCTGGAATGTCACAAAACTTCCAAAAAAAATTAAGAAAAGTTATAAAAAAAGGGTGTCCTTCCTCCTCACGCCCCCTCCTCGTCCTCGCCCCTGCCGCCTCCTCGCCCTCGCGTCTCCTTATCGTTCTTGTCCTCGCACCCCCACTCCCGCTTGCCTCGCCGACAACCGCACCCTCCTCCTCGTCCTTGCTCCCGCCGCTGCCACCGCCCTGCCGTGGCGCGCTAGGGTTTCGTCGGGGTGTCCGCGGAGCTCCGGCGAAACCCTAGCGCGCCCGCGGCGGCAGTTTTCTTCCCCTCCCCCCTCCTTCCGCGGCGAGCTCCGGCCGTGGAGCTCCCCCGCCCCTGACCTGGCCCGGCCGCTTCCACCGTAGCTAGGTCCCCTAAACTGCCCTGCCGTTGTCCCCACCTCCTAGACGGCCTTCCTCCCCCAAACCACCTTATATGCTCGCTGGAGATGGAGAAGAAGAAAGGGAGAGCACGGGAGCAGGAGATGCTGGAACCCTAACGACAGCTAGGTGTCCATCTCCGTCCTTGCCGCCGTCTTCTTCCTGTCCAGCGGGGCGCAAGCGCGTGGGCGCGTCAACAGACAGGTAAACAAAATATCAGGCGCCTGCGTTTGGGTAAATCTGTATAAAAATAGGAAGTTTATGTTCTGTGCATCCATAATGCTAAGATGCGATTAGTTAATAGCTAGCATGCATGATATATGCCTACAGAATTAAAAAGAAGCATTTTTTGCAAAACAAAAAGGATCAATAAGCTACATCACTTACCAAGTCACATCCATCACATTGCACGGTACATATATTTTTTTCTAGATAGAAATTTAGATAACACAATCAATGAGACAATAGTACCAAGTTGTAGATGACATACAAATGTTACGACAACAGGTTACATCTAGCTGGATACAATGGGGTAAGCGGCAAGTAAATAACTAAGTATTAAGCTTCTACTTAGCTACAAAACCTATTATATATGGCAAATGCTGCTTTTTCGGGCGCGCGCCCGCAGGCCCGAATTCCCGCACACCCCGACGCAATTATCGCCTAGGCCGTGAATGACGCGCTGGGCTAGCACTTATTTAGGAAACTAAATTGTTAGGATTAGGAGGAGAGGGTGACACCTTGGCTGATGACGGAGCAACATGTTTCAACTAGGAGACATGAAACACGCGGGGGACAGTTGATGAAGCTGAGAGATCAATCTTGTAAGCCACTGGACCCATTTTCTTGCGCACCTAGAAAGGTCCAAAGAACTTGAAAGATAGCTTGTGATTGGCACTAGGAGCCACAGAGAAATGCACATAGGTTGTATCTTGAGGAACACAAAATCCCCCCCACATCGAACACACATTTAGTTTGGTGTTTGTTGGCTTGACGTTTTCAAGACTTTCTAGGCAAAGAGTTGCTTGACATGGCAATAGGTGAATAGGAATCCAGAATGACCACCAACAGGGTGCATCATGCAATGCTGCCAAGATGGACTGCTACAGTGAAGTCTTGTTTCCCAACCAGATTCTAAGACTTATAGCATAGGATGCCATCTGACAGGGAGAAGTTGGTCACTAAATCTGGGGACATAGCAAGCTTGGACAAGATTGCTCGAGTGTCAGGATCATGGGGATAACCAGAAAGAGTGGTTGTGGTCAAATACTTGTTTTCTATAAGTGGAGAGATCTGCCATCTTAGGACCCAATTGCTTGATGATGTATGCCAGGGGGTGACCCTGCCGTATAGGACGCGCAGATTCCATGATCACAAGCATTAGTTTCAACACAGAAAGTCTTAGTGAAGTCAGACATGGCCAAAACTATGGCAGAACTGAGCCCTGTCTTCAGAGAGTCACAAACCTACTGATTGACTCTGGTCCAAATAAACAGAGTGCGATTCTTAATTAAGAAGCTCTGTCAACGATTTAGCTAACACTGCAAATTGGTGGATGAATCTCCTGTAATAGCTAGCAAGTCTGAGGAAGCCACAGAGGCCCTTGAAATTTGTTGGTTGGGGCCAAAAAGTAATGGCCTGGATCTTATTAGGGTCAATAGAAACTCCTACCTCACTAATGATGTGTCCCAAGTAGGACAATTGGTGTTGTGCGAAGGAGCAGTGGCTACGCCTGACATGCCACTGATCCTGAGCCAACAACTGAAAAACAGTGTGCAAGTGGCCAACAAGGTCATCATAGGTGCGGCTATAAAACAATATGTCGTCCGAAATAACAAGAACACACTTTGTGAAGAAATGGTAGTAATGTAGAGTTCATAGCACCCTAAAATGTCCCTAGAGCGCCACACAAGTCAAATGGCATGACCTTGAACTTGAAGTGACCAAAGTGTGTTTAAAAAGTAGTTTTTAATTCTTCACCAGTCTTGAGGCGGATTTGATGGAATCAGGAGTTGAGGTCCAAGGAGGAAAAGCAACTAGCTCATGACACTTCATATCCATTAGCTCATCCAAAATTGGTAGATGGAACTTGTAGCAGACAATGATGGCATTTAGGTGTCTATAATCGACACACGGTCGCCACAAACCATCCTTAATGGGCTGGTGGTGGACTGGATAAGCTTCTTGGTGAGCATGCCATGAACTTGAATTTTGATTTCATCTTTGAGATCCGGAGTTTACCGATATGGTCTTATGTCGATAGGTTGAGGACTAGGAATCAGTGGGATAGCATGATCATAATGATGGATGGGTGGCAATCCACTAACCGGTGCCAATACAGAAGCAAACTCTAGAAGTATAGCTTAAATTTCTAGAGGCAAGGCCGGGGCAGGTGCTTCTAGAACAGTGTTCGCTGAGAGGCTACAAACCTGAACCAAGAGATGCTCATTGGCCATTGGTAGAAACCCATTAATGGCAGCAAAGGAGCCATTTGAAATAGCCAAGAAGAATTGGGCATCAAAAACCCTATGAATGGTAGGAACATCTGAGTGCTCTATGGCAGAATCTACAGGCAGCAAACTGAATAGATCCAACAACTCTTCCATGGTATGCAACTGCATAGTGGTGGAACATTTGTGCCCATGTGACCATTTCTCAGCAACAGTTACATAGCCCTCTAGCACCACAGTATGAACAAAGAGGAGAGTATTTCTTAGCCGCAGATGTCTTAGATGAAGTGCCATCACGAACATCAGCACCTTCAGTGGATGACATTGGCATTGTATCTTGATGTGGTGGCGGGGGGAAGTGGAAATGGCCCCCAAGACATCTGCTTATGGTAAAACATGATATCGGGCCTACAGATTCACAATCGCCGCATGGGCACAACTGCCTCCTCCTACAACAAGGCCCAAGTGCAAGCAATATCCAAGGAAGACAATAGTTGAACAAGAACAATAAGGCAAATATCATCGCTTAAGCCATCAATAAAGCGCATGGTGTAAAACAAGGGATCTGATTTGTGACCATAAGCAACCAACTAATCAACCAACTTAGTGAATTTCTTAGCATAATCAGACATGGATCCAGATTGTTTAAATGTGACAAGATTATCAGATCAAAAGCTCTGGGCGATCACAACCTAAGCGCTCAAGCACCACACTACCAAATTGAGACCAGTTGGAAGTTTTTAGATGGAATTCAACCAACTACCACGAACGTGCAGCTGGTCCTTGGAAGTGTGCAGACACAACACAAATCCAAATTGGATGTTCTACGTGATACATTTCAAAATAATCTTCGTATCTAGAGCTTGGGATTCTTGCCATCGAAAGGGGAGAAATAGGGTTTAGGAAATTGGCTACTGTAATTGCTGTGGGAAGAACCTGATCTATCCAAATGAGGTTCTAGAGCAAACTGACCAAACGACATTTTAACAAGAGCAGGGGAGGTAGAAGTGAATGCACCCCTTCCCAAGACATAGGTGAAGACTATGGCAAACCTAGTGTCCCAGGAAGAATTTTTGATGAGGTGCCCAGTTGGTCCATTGACGGTGGAATTCGAAGTAGGCGAGCTGAACTTTCGGACGCTGACTTAGGTTGCAAGATGAGACCAAGGTCAGCGGTGGCGCGCTCGAGCATAGAGCGATCCCATTGGTGTGCCAGTTTGCCGACCTCCTACTTGGCGGCGTCTATGGAGGCCTCAATCTAGGGGCGCCATTTGTCGAACACCTTGGCAGCGACTTCAAGAGCGACGACGTGGGAGCCATGGTGGTGCTCGAAG